TTCAAATCTGTGTCCAGGTACCTTTAAAGCCGCTTAGTCCGAAACAGGCACATTTTATCTTACACAATAAAAGTACGTCATTACATAGATAATATAAAAAAATAAATTATAAGATTGATTTTATAGTTCATTACAATAATCCTTGCAAGGAAAACATAGATCAAAACCTTATTGACAAACAGAAGTTCCTGACGGGAAGTTGAAATCTGTTGTGACGTCACCTTTGAAAAAAATAAATTTATCGGCTATATCTAATAATCAAGATAATTCAAACCCGAGTATTTTTTTCCATTACATGAAGAAGAAAGTCATAATATTATATCTTTTAAAAATTAAGAAATTAATTGAATATAATCCATAGTAATTTTTATATTAATATGCATATTTAAAGAATAAAGGAAAATCAGATTTGTTAAAGATTTTTTTAAAGGAAGTTTAGTAACGAAGGCTAAAATATTGTCCGTGTACAGGTATAAGTACTTTGTTATGAAAAAAAAATGCTCGGGTTTGTTCTTCATGAGATATAAGCGAAAAATTTAAGTTTTCGAAGGTGATTTCACGCGATATCAACATAGGATTATTTTTGGTGTGACCTAACAAAAATTATTTTTCTAACTTCTGAATTTTGATATCTTTTAAAAGAAAAAAAACTTTGGGGATATAATTTGACAAAAGTTGAAACAATTTATTGACAATTATTTTTCAAGAAGAACAGCGAATACATTTTTTCGCGATTAGAATCGGACCAAGCGACTTTAATAAAAATATCTAAAAATGATGTCTTTAATTAAAACTGACTTAAACACAATTTGATAAAAGTGAGGTTAAGGTCAAATAAAAGGTCAAGGTCAAAATTGTTGATGCAGTTGAATCACTTACATCAACATGTATCAACATATAAAGTTTGACACTGATTTAGGAAAAGTAAGGTCAAGGTCAAAGCAAAGGTCAAGGTCAAAAATGTTGATGCAGTTGAATTGCTCTCATCAATATGTAACAGCATATAAAATTTGATAAAAATATCTTGAATGGTATCTTTAAAACTGAGCAAACCACTAATTTCAGAAAAGTGAGGTCAAGATCAAAGGAAAGGTCTGGGTCAAAAATGTTGATGCAGTTGAATAGCTCTCATTAGTATGTATCAACATGTGAAGTTTCATAACACCTCTTGAATGGTATGTTTAAAACTGAGCTAAACACTAATTCAAGAAAAGTGATGTCAAGGTCAAAGAAAAGGTCAAGGTCAAAAAATGTTGATGCAGTTGCATATCTCCCATCAATATTATCAGGATATAAAGTTTGATGAAAATATCTTGGATAGTTTCTTTTAAACTTAGCTTTGAACAGAGCTAAACGCAAAGTGTGAAGGACAGACGGAAGGATGGAAGACGAACATAACAAACACTATATACCCCGGCCATATTCATGGCGGGGCATAAAAATCTTTTTAAAAATCTTTTTCTCAAGAACCAGTGGGTCAGAAAAGCTTACACTTATGTGGAAACATCCTGGGGTAGTGTAGATTCGAAATTGATAAAATTATTACTCCCGGGGTAGGGTGGGGTCACAATAGGGAATCCAAATTTTATATAGAAATATATAGGAAAATCTTCTTTTCAAGAACCAGTAAGCCAGGAAAGCTGAAACTTATGTGGACGCATCCTGGGGTTAGTGTAGATTTTAAATGGTTAAAATCATGACCCCCGGGGGTATGACTGGAGCACAATAGGGAATCCAAGTTTTACATAGAAATATATAGGAAAATTCTTTTAAAATCCTCTCAAGAACCATTGGGCCAGGAAAGCTGAAGCTTATGTTTTTATGTTATATTGTGGCCCCGTCCAACCTGCAGGCGTCGTGATTTGAACAGTTTTGAATCTATGCTATCCCAGGATGCTTCGACATTAGTTTCAGCTGTTCTGGACAAGTGGATTGTTAGTGATTTTCCCTATATATTTCTGTGGAAAAGGACAAGTGCACTTAAGCAATTATACTTAATGGACCCTTTTTATGGGGTGTTACTAAAACGCGGAACGGAAAACGGAACGGAAAGCGGAACGGAACAGAAAACGGAAAATAAATGTCAAGCAAAGAAGCTTGATTCGATATTCATCAGACATAAAAAGCATTATTCATGATATAAAAGTCATATTTAATGAAAAATTAACGTAAAATATGACATTTTCGTTAATCATTAACCCCTCATAACATGTATATATGATGGTCAATGAAATGTACACACTGTAATATATATGTACTAACTATAGTATCTATCTGTCAAATGTTTCGTTCAAATCATTTTCAAAAAAATCTTGTATTGAAATAAGCGTAAGGAAAAAGACTTCTAGAATGTACACATACGTGTATCGGTATAGACAAAAATTTGAACTAGTTTTGACATATGCATTACGCATGCATTGGCGAATCCGGGAACTTGAAAAGGGAGGGGGCAGTTTAGGGTCGGAGTAGGTGCCTTCAGTCACACACATATACTAGTCACAAAGAGGACGGGGGTGGTCTTCCTCCCCTCTAAATCCATGAGTGGCATATGATATACATATTGAGAAATTCAAATATGAATAGCTGCAGCATAAGAAAACATTTCTTGCAAAGGAATTTGATAGCGTGACTGTGTAACCTTTTTCTTAAACAGGAACTTTTGACAAGAAGCAGAAAAACAAATTTAAAGTTTTACAGCCAATTAATGCAGAATAGCGCAGTAGACATGTTTGTAAGCAAAACAAACACACAATATATTTGTCCGTGCAGTTGTAATATATACTGCGAGTTTCAACGCATTTCATCGGTAATTTAAACATAAACAATATACAGACACTCGTGTTGCACTGTTTACAAAAACTGTGAATATTATATTATTTATTTATTATTTATTAGAAAAATCAGGAAGTAAAGATATTATAGTACAAGAGGCCCATGGGCCTTATAAGTCACCTGAGCATTCTGCAACAACTTTCCAGTTATTGAATTTGATTCATGTTTTAAGCCAGATGCTATATGGCATTCACAATTTTGAAAGAGGCACCATTGATCATCATAAAAATACACTACAGTTGCTCAGCTTGGTTTATTGATTTAATATATCCAATAATAATTATAGGATCTTCATGAACATTTCATCAATAAAATTCATGAAAAATTACGGAAATAAATGAATTATATATGATCACCTCGCAGGGGTTTTGCAATGCGCGCATACGCAAGGTAAGGGAACAAAAATGCATTCCAACTAATCAGTAATATTCAGCAATAATCAGTAGTGCCCCTAACACTGTGAAATAAACCCCTGACCCTAGGTCCACACATTGCACAAATTTTAAAAAGGCACCGTTAAAATTGCCTATCAAAAAATAAATAAATGTTTTATAAATACAAAGGAGCAGATTTCAAACAATTAATTCATTAGTATATGTAGAGCTCCACCCCCACCCCTGACCCTGGGGCCTTGAAATTCAAAATTCTGCAAGATTAGTAAGCCTTGCTCATCATAACTATTTAGGTAGTTCATCTGCTTCATACCCAGAGACAGAGAAGAAAATGTTCTCAAAGATTTAATGTATATTCACTATATAATCAACAGACCCCCCCCCCCCCACACACACACACACACCAGAATCCCTGACCCTGGGACCATAAAATTCACAATTTTGGTTGAGGCACTTTTGCTCATCATAACTATGTACTTAGTTAGTTTATTTAATACCTAGGAGCAGAGAAGAAGATTTTCAAAGAATTCATGTATTTTTTCACTATATAATCTATAGAGCCCCGCCCCAACACCAGAACCCCTGACCCTGGGACCATCAAATTCACAATTTTGGTAAAAGCACTGTTGCTCATCATAACTATGCACTTAGTTAGTTTATTTAATACCTAGGAGCAGAGAAGAAGATTTTCAAAGAATTCATGTATTTTTACTATATAATCTATAGAGCCCCCCGCCCCCCTACAAGAGAAGCCTTGACCCAGGGACCATAAAATTCACAATTTTGGTAGAGGCACTCTTGCTCATCATAAAAAGCACTTAGTTAGTTTATATAAAATACATATTTAAAGAAGAAATTTTCAAAGAATTTGTGTATTTTCACAATATTATCATTAACCCCTCATACACCAGAATATATGACCCTGGGGCCATAAAATTCACACATTTTGGTAGATATATATGCTCATCATAACTATGCACTTAGTTAATTTATTTAATATCTAGGAGCAGAGAAAAGATTTTCAAAAAAATCATGTATTTTTACTATATAATCTATAAAGCCCCCCCCCCCCTACCAGAACCCCTGACCCTGGGGCCAAAAAATTCACAATTTTGATAGAGGCACTCTTGCTCATCATAACTATGCACTTAGTTAGTTTATTTAATATCCAGGGGCAGAGAAGAAGATTTTCAAAGAAATCATGTATTTTCACTGTATATACACACAGCCCTGGTCACAAACAACAGAAACCCTGACCCTGGGGCCATAAAATTCACAATTTTGGTAGGGGCACTCTTGCTCATCATGTACTTAGTTGGTTTATTTAATACCCAGGAGCAGAGAAGAAGATTTTCAGAGAAATAATGCATTTTCACTACCTACTTGTGTAGCCCTGCCCTAGCACTATAACCCCTGACCCCAGGGCCATGAATTTCACAATTTTGGTAGAGGACTCAATGCTGATTACAATCATGCAAACAGTTTGACTGCTTGATTTCCAGGAATAAAGAAGAAGATTTTTAAACACACAATTTTAGTGGTTTTGGCCCCACCCCTCAGGCCCCAGGGGGGCAGGGATCATGAAATTCACAATTTTTGTTCCTCTTCACCCATAGATGCTTTGTGCCAAATTTGGTTGAAATTGGTTCAGTGGTTGCAGAGAAGAAGCTGAAAATGTTCAAAATTAACGATTTATTATACGACGTACGACGAACGACGACGGACGAAAACAGATAGCAATAGGTCACCTGAGTTTACTCAGGTGACCTAAAAACAGATATTAAAGCAGATTTTGTCTACAAGCAAGTCAGAGTGAAACTTTTCAGATTACTTGTATTTAATCATATACTGTGGATAGTACTGATTCTTATCAAACACACAAAATACTCTTGGATTATCCAGATTATCCACACAGCAGTCATACAGCTCTGAATTAGGATTTTTAGGATCCACAGGTGGGGGTCTGGCATATTTTGGGTCTCCAAGAGCCAACTTGCCACACAATACTTTGACAAGGAACATATATTTGTTCTTCTCTTTGTCCACTTGGGCATACAAATCTGAATACTTGGCATCCGATGCAAAGTATGTACCTTTCCCAAATAAGGCCCCAACTCTCTCCCCAGCAAGACGGAAGTCCAGGTTATCTTTACAGATGACATCTACAAGGTGGGGTAGAGTACCATGAAAAAGTTCTCTCTCATTGGAACATCCACTGCCCCCGTACTGTATTTCCATCCGATTGCGTTTTCTACAAAGCAGAATATTTTACATGATTTGAAAGATAATTTTTTAAAGTATTAAATAGAAAATGATTTACTACAATACCAGTAAAAGTCCTCTATACACTTCACAAGAGATTCTGATTTTGTGGTATACTATAATAATTTCTGTGGTACCTTTACTACAGTTAAAATAATATCTCCTTGCATCTAAAACAAGAGGCCCAAGGGCCTTGAATCACTCTTCTGATAAATTGTACGATCTATCACTTCTATTAGAAGCCTCCATTTCTATCAGTATCATAAGACCCAAAATGCATCAACTGAAAAAGTTTGATAATATTTAGTCAGTTAAGACTGAAGATATTATAATTATAAAATACCATAAGTAGGTCACAATGACCTACCTTTTGATTGAAAGTTTCTAAGGACTCAAGATACATTAATTGACAAAGACTGATGATTCTAAGTGAATAAGTACCTGAGATATTCAAGAGTAGTTCACCATGACCTGCTTTTTGGTTGACATTCTCTGAAAACCCAATATGCATAAACTGACAAAGTTTGATGATACTAAGCCAATAAGTACCTGAGACATTCAAAAGTAGGTCAATTGACAAAGTTCAATGATTCCTAGCCAATAAGTACCCATTATAATTAAATATAGCGATAAAATGTCAAAAGTAGGTCACAGTGACCTACTTTTTGATTGTCAAAACTTGATGATTCTAAGCCAAGAAGTGCCTGAGATACTTAAATATAGCCACAAAATGTCAAAAGTAGGTCACCATGACCTATTTTTTCATCGACATTCTCTGAAAACCCAAGATGCATCAACAAAAAGAGTTTGATGATTCTAAGTCAGTAAGTACCTGAAATACTTAAATATAGCCATAAAATTTCAAAAGTAGGTCACCGTGTCCTACTTTTTAGTTGTCACTCTCCGAAAACCCAAGATGCATCAACTCACAAAGTTTGATGATTCTAAGCCAATAAGTACCAGAGATACTTAAATAAAGCCATAAAATGTCAAAAGTATGTCACCATGACCTACTTTTTGGTTGTCACTCTTGATTCTAAGCTAATAAATACCTAAGATATTTATTTATAGCCATAAAATGTCGAAAGTAGGTCATCGTGACCTACATTTTGGTCAACATTTTCAAAGTCCCAAGATGCATCTACTGACCAAGTTTGATGATTGTAGGTCTGAAGGTAATCAAAATATGCCTTTTAAACAATTTGAAAACAAATGCCCGCAAAATTTAAAAAGTAGATCATCGTGACCTACTTTTGAATGAACCTGATGTGAAGTACTAAGATGCATCAACTTACAAGATTTGATGATCCTAGTCCTTATAGTAAGCAAAATATAAACATTTTTATTAATTGTAAATTTAGGTCAACTTTGAAGTGACCTTGAGACCATGCCTTTTGCCCCAGGGTAATACCCCACGCAAATTTTAATCTTCGACACATCCTGAACCTTGTATGTAAGTTTGGTGAAAATCTGCCTGGTGGTTCTGGAGAAGAAGATTTTTTAGCAACCAGTACTTTTGGTTTTGTTTTCCTGATTATCTCCCCTTGTTCAAGGGTCCCAACCCTTATTTTAGTATACATGTAAATGGTAGCCCTTGGGCCAAGGATACCCTGTGAAAAATTTGACACTGATTGGCCAAGGGGTTCTTGAGTTATGGCCCATATTCTAAAACATCACGAATGGCCATAGCATTAGCTCTTTGAGCCTTTGGCTCAGAAGAGCTAATAAAATTGACATGTAGTGTTTTACTACATTTATAACCAATTTTAGGATTAATATAATTTAATAGGCAAGGCAAATTCAAATAAATTATGGGCCACTTTGCTCATCTGTTCAAGAAAAAAAACAAAAATCAACCCAGAATTGAAAATAAGTATAAGTGGTCCCAACCTACTCCTAAAAAAAGGGGGGGGGGGGGTTATGATTTGAATAAACTTGAATCTACACTAACAAAGAATGCTTACATACCCCAGTATTTCTTTGACTTACTGTGGCTTTTTTCTTTTTAGTTTTGAAAACTTCATTATGGTCCACCCTAACCCCAGGGGCCCTGATTTGAACAAATTTGAATCTACACTACCTGAATATGCTTCCATATTAATATCACTAATTATGGCTTTGCTATTCTTGAGAAGATTTTTTAAAGATCTTTCGTATTTAATGTGCATATATTCCTATGTAAATCTTTGATTACCCATTGTGGCCCATCCTATCTCTTGTGGTCATAATTTGAATCTACACCACCTGAGAATGATTCCACTTGAGTTTCATTTTTCCTGGCCCTGTGGTTCTAGAGCAGATTTTAAAAAGATTTTTCACTTGTACTAGTCATGTCTTTGCTGTTCTTGATAAAAGATTTTAGAAGATTTTTCTATACATTCCCTTGTAACTTCGCTTATTGTTACATCCTGATTGGTAAAAACATATACAGCTATATTATATATAACTACTTGACGATGAGTCAATATCAACATGACAAATCATGGCTTTTAAATAGCTGTTTTTGAGAATCTTTCTAAAAAAGTTACTTTTTCATTCCTATTAAACACAACTGCAGACCTACCACATCTAGGAGGGTCATGCAGGGCTTTCAAAAAGATTTGAACCAGGTGGTACTTTATCAAAAATAGGAGGTACCACTTGGCGAACGCCGAAGGCGTAAGCCTGCTAGGGGGGTCCGGGGGCATGCCCCCCCGGAAAAATTTTGAAATTTAGAAGCCACCAGACAGCATTTCCTGGTTTCTAGACACATAGAAGTATGCTGCTATCAGTGTTATTTTTATGCCATGTTTCAAAGTTTATTTTTGGTCAATACACATTACATGTGAAGTTTAGCACTGGATGGGTGGAATTACATAGAAAAAATTAGTTATTTGAGCAGAGTAAAACTTCTAAGTTCTATGCTATATTTGTTTATATAAATGTGTTCAAAAAAATTTTGCAAGGTTTGAGTTGTAAGTGTTAATTTGTTTTAAATATAAAAAAAAAGTTATTGAGTCACGAAAGGAAATGGCAATTCAAAATTTAAATTTAATAAAAGAGAAATGAAATTGTATTTGCATTAAATTAAATTCATTTCTGTTCTACAGTAAAGTGCAGATTTAAAAAAAAATTTAGAAGAAGCACTGCATGATGCATAGCATGTACCAATAAATTCAGCATATTTTTCATGCACTGGTACATATACATATAAAATAATATACATGTGTAAATTAGATAAAGATGACATCAAGACTGGAGACAAAAAAATTTTTAGATATGACTCCCTCACTTTACTGGATATGGTTACAATATTGGGAAGAAAGTAAACGTCCGCAAGGTCATTCTCTTGACCACAAGAAAACTGCTGAATCAAAGAATTAAATGTGTGGTAAAAGAAATAGTTTCTGTTTTATGTCCTCTTGTTTCATCAGAAAGTTGCAGATATTCAAGACTGTAAGTAATTTATATCGTCAGCTGCGGATTTTGACACTTAAATTTGAAGAGTTGAGGCTATTAAAATGTACAGAGGTGGTCAAAGAACTATCTACTGTTCATGTCCGTCTCTTTATCGGTCAATTGTGTTGAAGATTTTCCGTGGTCTAGTTCCTTGTATCTTAAAATCTTTTGTGAAACTCATTACCATGGCTTTAAATTGACACTTTCATTTTTGACATCTAGATTCCTATTTTTTATTTGTTTGACCGTATTTATTTAAAATATATTCCTAGTCATTCGCTTTTGTCAAAATCAGTGACGGTGGCATTTGATATCGAAATCTACTTTCGTTTTCGACAAGATCTATAAGACGCGTTACGCAATCTCTTTAGTTTCATTTATTCAAACGCTTTAATGATCTTCTTGACTAACCAATCAAAAACGTTATTAGATACCATTACGAATTAAAGAATAATACAAAGCTACGTAACCACAACTTTTGTAAAACATGGTAGGGCCTATCGTATTTTCACGCGATTTTTTTTTCTCCACTGAATATTTTGGCCGGTACCATGAATGAATCCAACCGGGTAAAAGTACCGGGTACCGGCAGATTTTGAAAGGCCTGGTCATGCATCCTAGAGAAGCAAAAAATGGAGAAACATAAGAGAAATAAAATTAACATGCACAAAATTATCACTTACAAATAATAACATTCCCAGCAATAGAGATTTTGGATTCTTTCTATTGTTAAAATTTTGGCTTGTCCTAGTGTCTTTTTAAATTTATCAGCCACCATTTGGTATTCCTTCTGCAGCATACCACCACCATCAGGAGAAAGGGGAACTCTTCTGAATGGTTCCCGACCCATGGCCTCCCAGTCTGAAGGAATTCCCACACCTTTCTTTGTCACAGCTAGGTTTGAAGTTGTAGCCTTTTTAGACAACCTGTGTAAATTATTCATAAGATTTCAAGGAAGTCAATCAATCCCAGAATCTGGTATAAAATTAATTATCTGATTTAGATGACCATCTCTACTTTCTATTTGTAACTCACATGACCATGAAATGCTTGACCATATCATCCTCAGCCAAATCCAGGGGGGACTTTTTCTCCTGATTTTCAATATTAATGTCGGCCTTTGCTTCTAACAAAGCACAAATAATCTGTGTACCAACATTTTTGTCTTCTGGTTTCAGTTGTATCAGCTACAAAGGAAAGAGAATTATTTTCCTTCTCAAAAATTACTGACACAAATATTAATTGTGATATACTCTTAACAGCTTCTTTACTGAGCAGTTTAAAATCGCTCAAATTACATGACACTAAACAAGAAATGTTTGTAAAACACTTATGCCCCCTTCCCCAACAAATTGGAATTTTTCTATGTCAAAAAGGACATAACTCTGTCAAAAATGGTGCGATCATACCCAAAACAGAACTTGAACTAGATATTCATCTGACAAATCTGTACACTAAATTCCATTTCAATACACATAACTCTGTCAAAAATGGTGCGATGGTACCCAAAACAAAACTTGACCTAGATATTCATCTGACTTATCTGTATGCTAAAATTCATTTCAATATGTGCAACCTCTCCGAAAAAAAATGAACGGAAACTGCAAATAATTGGAATTTTTCTAAGTCCAAGGGGCATAACTCTGTCAAAAATGGTGCGATCGTACCCAAAACAGAACTTGACCTAGATATTCATCTGATATACCACGGTACCTGTATACCAAATTTCATTTCAGTATGTGCAACAGTTGTGAAGAAAATGAATGGAAAGTAAATGGACCGACAGACAGCAGCAAAGCAATATGCCTCCCTTTTTCGAAGGGGGGGGATAAAAATTAAATACCAATTTTTAAGGACAAATCCCTAAATTTGCATCTCACTTAAAATTTCCACTTATATGGCATCTCAGTGTAGTCTACTTGCATGCCAGGTTACACTAAAATCAGACCAAACTTTAGAGAGAGTATTGTTTTGAATGTAATTCACAAATATTTCCAGTTTTAGTAATCATGTCAACACCATTCATCAAAATAAAAAACAAATAAAAAGATATGTACATTTTAGTGCATACTATTTGTTCAGCAAGTTATACTGAAATCAGACCAAAACTGTAGGAGGAGTAGCATTTTGAATCCATACCAGTTACCATGCAGACAAAAAATGATCTTTTACACTGTAAATTCGACAATCCTAGTTCAATGAGGATTAAAGTATTAATTTGTGCACATGCGTGAGAGAAAAAATAGATTCAGACTTTCTTGCTATGTTAAAAATGTAACTTCCATTTTAAAAAGTGTGTTTGTTTTATGAAACACATCGACAGAAAATGACTTGTACCATAAACAGCAAGCATGTTCTCTGATGAAATCGAGGACAAATACAGCTAAAAATGTAGCTATATCTCACTATAATAGTGATATACCACTATTATAGCAAAATCCCCCCAACCTGATGAGAGACAGACAGATGGTAGAGGTACTCTGTACAACTTTTCCATCAGCAAAGCTGACTTGAATCTTCATCACAGTTGAGCTAAAAAGCACATGAATTACCCCTGGTAGAGACTTCTTCATCTGAGCAACATGTAAGGCTGTGTTTCCATTGTTGTCCTGGGCATTGACATCACAAGCTACAAAACAAAACATAAAACTGAACCATTAATGGCTGCAGCTGATGTAAGAGTAAAACATGCATATTTTGTCACATTTTGGTTATCTCTCACTGTCTCTCATTTATAAGTGGTACATCAGCTAATATTTTAACAAGTGTTTGAAATTTTAAACAAGAAGCCCATGGGCCTTAAAGCTTATAGGTCACATGAGCATCATGCAACAACTTTCCAACCATTGAATTTAGTTCATATTTTAAACCAGAGGCCATGGCATTTACAATTTCCAATAAGGCACCATTGATCAGCATAACTATACACTTAGCATGCTTAGTTTGGTTACTTAATACCCATAGGCAGAGAAGGGGAACAAAAAAATACATTTCCACTAATCAGTAAAAATCAGCAATAATCAGTGGTGCCCCACCCTACTGGAACCCCGCAGCCCGAGTCCACAGATTTAACAATCTTTGTTCATTATAAATGTTTGATTAGTACTAAGGAGCAGATTTCAAAGCATAAAATGATTCATTTTCAGTAGATAAGTAGAGTCCCCCTCTATAATACCCCTGACCCAGGGGCATTGAAATTCACAAATCTGGAAGAAGGATCCTTGCTTATCATTGCATGGAGTTGAACAAACTTAAATCTATTCTTCCTACAAATGCTTTTAAATTAATATGACACATAATGGCTTTGCTGTTTATAAGATGAAAATTTTTATTGATCTAGCTGTTTAATATATTCCTTTGTATAACTATGATCCACTTTAATCGCTCATCTATTCTCCTGGTTGGTCATGATTTGAACAAATTTAAATCTGAATTACTTTTTTTTAATGCTTTTATATTGATGATCCATCATGGCTTTGTTGCTTTTGTGAAGAATTTTAATGATTTTTCCTTTGTATTCTTCATAAAATCTTGATCACACATTGTGGCCCAACTCTACCCCCTGGGGTCATGATTTGAATAAAATTGAATCTACACTACCCGAGGATGCTTCCATATAAATATAAACAATCACATCTTTGATTTTTAGAGGATTTTTCCTATGTATTCCTACATTAAACTTTGATACCCCATTTTGGCCCTATCCGAACCGAGGGGGGGGGGTCTTTATTTGAACAAATTTGAATCTACAATCAAGAGGATGCTCCATTCTAACTATGACCAATCATGGCTTTCCTATGTATTCCTATGATAAACTTTGATGCCCCATTGTGGGCCCACCCTACCCCATGTATTAAACAAAATTGAATCTACACTACCAGAGGATACTTCCACATTAGTTTCATCTTTCCTGGCCCAGTGATTCTTGAGAAGAAAATTTTTAAAGACTTTTCCTATATATTCCTATATGTTCAGCCATAGTGGCCCTGCCCTACCCCCGGGGGTCATGATATGAACAATTTTAAATCTACACTATCTGAGGATGATTTCACATGAGTTTCATCTTTCCTGTCTCAATGGTTCTTGAGAAGAAGATTTTTAAAGAATTTTCCTATATATTTCTATGTAAAACTTTGATCGGCCATTGTGGCCCCACCCTACCCCCGAGGGTCATGATTTGAACAAACATGAATCTACACTTCTTAGGATGATTTCACATGAGTTTCATCTTTCCTGTATCAATGGTTCTTGGAAGATTTTTCCTATATATTCCTATGTAAAACTTTGATTGGCCATTGTGCTACCCCGCGGGGTCATGATTTGAACAAATTTAAATCAACACTACCAGAGGATGATTCCATGTGAGCTTCATCTTTCCTGGCCCATTGGTTCTTGAGAAGAAGATTTTTTAAACAAGAGGCCCATGGGCCACATTGCTCACCTGCGTAACTTGGGTGATGCAGTTCTTGACCAGATTTCCCCTCTTGCTATACCTATCGTGCCCCCTACCTCCTTCCCTTTTATGATATTTATAGAATCTACACTACCACATAAGTTTCACCTTTCCTGGCCAAGTGATTCTTGAGAAGAAGATTTTTAAAGATTTGTTCTATATATTTCTATGTAGAACTTGAAAATCCCTATTGTGGCCCTGCCCTACCCCGGGGGTCATGATTTTAACAATTAAATATCTACACTACCCAAGGATGCTTCCACATAAGTTTCAGCTTTCCTGGCCCAGTGGTTCTTGAGAAGAAGATTTCTAAAGATTTGTTCTATATACTTCTATGTAAAACTTGGATTCCCTATTGTGGCCCTGCCCTACCCCAAGGGGTCATGATTTTAACAATTTAATATCTACACTATAAGGATGCTTCCACATAAGTTTCAACTTTCCTGGCCCAGTGGTTCTTGAGAAGAAGATTTTTTAATGACCCCACCCTATTTTTGTCTTTTCTTGATTACCTCCCCTTGTAAGAGGACTTGGCCCTTCATTTTAACAATTTAAACCTCCCTTTACCCAAGAATGCTTTTAATCAAGTTTGGTTAAAATTGGCCCATTGGTTCTTTAGAAGAAGTTGAAAATGTGAAAAGTTTACAGATGGACAAAATGTGATCAGAAAAGCTCACTTGAGCCTTGGACTCAGGTGAGCTAAAAATGCCATAAATTTTTCACAAATTCATAATTATCTCCCCTTGGAAGAGGACATGGCCCTTCATTTGAACAAACTTGAATCCCCTTTACCCAAGGATACTTTGTAGCAAATTTGGTTGAAATTGGCATAGTGGTTCTTCAGAAGAAGATGAAAATGTGAAAAGTTTACAACAACAATAACAACAGCGTCAATGCCAAAGATGACAACGACAGACAACGGACAAATTTTGATCAGAAAAGATCACTTGAGCCTTCAGCTAAGGTGAGCTAAAAGTGAAAAGTTTACAACGACAACAACAACAATGCCAAAGATAGACAACAGATAAATTTTGACCAGAAAAGCTCACTTGAGCCTTTGGCTCAGGTGAGCTAATAACTTATTTAGTCTCTCACTAACACCAGAACCCCTGAGCCTTCCCCCCTCCCCCCCGAAAATGAGAAACAAAAGCCCCTCACTCTGGAACCATAAAGCTTTAAAAAATTTTAAGAAGGTAGATTTGTATTTAGTCATCATAACTATGCACTTTGTTAATCTGATCAACACTAAAGATTTAACAGGATTACTTAACAGAATAAATGCATTTTCACTACATAATTAATTGAGTCCTGCCCTAACACCAAAATCCCGACCCACGGACAAAAAAATTCACAACTCTTGCTCATCATAATTATAAACTATTAGTTAGTTGGTTTAATACACAGAAGCAGAGAAGATTTTCAAAGAATTAATGGGATTTTTTTTCCATATATAATCAATAGAGCCCTGCCTTAACACCAGAACCCTAGACCCAGGGGCTGTGAAATTCACAATTTTGGAGTTTATTTATTACATAGGAACAGAAAAGAAGAATTTCAAAGAAATAATGCATTTTTACTATATGATCTACATACTTTAACTCCTGAACCCCTGAACCTGGGGTCATGAATTACACAACTTTAGTAGAGGGCTCTCTGCTTATTACAATCATACCAACAGTTTGACTGCTTGATGTCCAGGAGTGAGAAGATTTTTAAAGATTGCACTAAATTTGGTGGTTTTAGCCCCACCCCTGTCCCGGGGGGGGGGGGGGGGGGGGGGGGCAGGGACCATGAAATACACAAATTGGTTGGAATTGGTTGAGCAGTTGCAGAGAAGAAGCTGAAAATGTTCAAATGTTAATGCACAAGGCATAACAGATGATGCACAATCATGACGGACACAAACAGATAGCAATAGGTCACCTGAGTGACTCAGGTGACCAAGAAATCCCATGTGGCTTATCATAATTAAATAAGTTATTAAGTCATTTATATTCTGTCTAGATGCTGTCTACATGCTAAGATATTTAAATCAAACTATTTTATATTTTCAGTCAATCAATTTTAAGATTAATATTTGAAGAACCACTAATCATCTCATACCAATCTACTCTAACAGTAAATGTAATCAAGGTTTTATCTCAAACCAATCTACTCTAACAGTAAATTTAATCAAGGCTTTATCTCATACCAATCTACTCTAACAGTAAATGTAATCAAGGCTTTATCTCATACCAATCTACTCTAACAGTAAATGTAATCAAGGTTTTATCTCATACCAATTTACTCTAACAGTAAATGTAATCAAGGTTTTATCTCATACCAATCTACTATAACAGTAAGTGTAATCAAGGTTTTATCTCATACCAATCTACTCTAACAGTAAATGTAATCAAGGCTTTATCTCATACCAATCTACTCTAACAGTAAATGTAATCAAGGCTTTATCTCATACCAATCTACTCTAACAGTAAATGTAATCAAGACTTTATCTCATACCAATCTACTCTAACAGTAAATGTAATCAAGGTTTTATCTCATACCAATCTACTCTAACAGTAAATGTAATCAAGGCTTTATCTCATACCAATCTACTCTAACAGTAAATGTAATCAAGGTTTTATCTCATACCAATTTACTCTAACAGTAAATGTAATCAAGGCTTTATCTCATACCAATTTACTCTAACAGTAAATGTAATCAAGGTTTTATCTCATACCAATCTACTCTAACAGTAAGTGTAATCAAGGTTTTATCTCATACCAATCTACTCTAACAGTAAATGTAATCAAGACTTTATCTCATACCAATCTACTCTAACAGTAAATGTAATCAAGGCTTTATCTCATACCAATCTACTTTAACAGTAAATGTAATCAAGGCTTTATCTCATACCAATCTACTCTAACAGTAAATATAATCAAGGTTTTATCAAATAAATAAATCTAACAGTTATATAATCAAGGCTTTATCTCATACCAATTTTAAATATATGTATATATAATTATATACTCAAACAGTAAATGTAATCAAGACTTTATCTCATACCAATTTACTCTAACAGTAAATGTAATCAAGGCTTTATCTCTTACCAATCTACTCTTACAGTAAATATAATCAAGGCTTTATCTCATACCAATCTACTCTAACAGTAAATGTAATCAATGTTTTATCTCATACTAATCTACTCTAACAGTAAATGTAATCAAGGCTTTATCTCATACCAATTTACTCTAACAGTAAATGTAATCAAGGCTTTATCTCATACCAATCTACTCTAACAGTAAATATAATCAAGGTTTTATCTCATACCAATCTACTCTAACAGTAATTATAATCAAGGCTTTATCTCATACCAATCTACTCTAACAGTAAATGTAATCAAGGCTTTATCTCATACCAATCTACTCTAACAGTAAATGTAATCAAGGCTTTATCTCATACCAATCTACTCTAACAGTATATATATAAGACTTTATCTCATAAAGACTCTTACAGTAATTATAATCAAGGTTTTATCTCATACCAATCTAATCTAACAGTAAATGTAATCAAGGTTTTATCTCATACCAATCTACTCTTACAGTAAATGTAATCAAGACTTTATCTCATACCAATCTACTCTAACAGTAAATGTAATCAAGGCTTTATCTCATACCAATCTACTCTAACAGTAAATGTAATCAAGGTTTTATCTCATACAAATCTACTCTACATGTAACAGTAAATGTAATCAAGGCTTTATCTCATACCAATCTACTCTAACAGTAAATGTAATCAAGGCTTTATCTCATACCAATCTACTCTAACAGTAAATGTAATCAAGGCTTTATCTCATACCAATCTACTCTAACAGTAAATGTTCAAATTGTATCTCATACCAAAACAAAATACCTCCATTGTTTTTGTGACCTTGAGAGACACAGTTTTATATTCAGATGTTTGTCTGTTACGTTCACATTACACTGCCCCTTAAATTATAAAAAACAACAAATAAATAAATCATTATATTATAGGAATGCATGATTTTAAATATATGTATATATAATTATAACATCAATGTCAAAAATTGTATGTGAATATTGTGTACTTATAATAGCAGGCTTATATTTTAGCGACTTCGGCACAATTGAACAATGTGCTAATTTATGAAAATGCTGATAAATCATTTATTAATACAATAAAGTATGAATTAGCAACATTTTCACACAACAACTCCATACCAAGTGACTATGCTAAATTTTGAATGTGCCAAATTATGTAAATCACTAAATGTACAGTACTCAAATTGTATGTGAGGTAAACTAGCTGTTCTTGTTCTAGCTGCTTTAATGACTATGGCATCAGGGCTAAATTGGCCGTACTTATACATAAAATCTTTTGACGGGAAATTTTCAATAAATAAGAAAGCATCAAATGTTTGAAATATTGATTTGATATATGATATATATATATATATGTACATCCAAAGTCTCTTCTTTGTAATAGAATAAAAAACTTTAAAACACTTTTCGAAATATTTCAACCGTGTTACAGACCTTCATCAGCCGTGTTTATTTAAGGGGGGACCTATGTCCGAAAAGTCTTTGTGTGAAATTTTCAAAACTTTCACATTTCTTTCCTGACCAATTGCTCTTAATTTTTAGGTATTAAAAACAATACCTTTATATGCTTATTTTTACACAGAAGCACGTGCAAAAACAGTGTAAAATGCTAAAAATAGATTATTTTCAGACATTATTGTTCTACCCCAAATATGCGCTAAAAAGAACCAAAAAATATCAGATCGCATTCAGATCAATAGGTATTTAATTTATATGACTTGTATCTTTAAAATGAAGCAAATTCATTGTAATTCATCTCGCAGGAAAAATTATAATGGAATTCAATGTAAGTATCATCCCGTTTTTCTTGTTGTGTTTTTTACAATTCCGACACGCAGAACAGGTTATATCTTAAAAAGTCTTTGTGTGAAAATGTTGTAATTCATATTTTTTGAAAGAAATGATTCATCTCTATATTTTGATAATGATTATGATAAAACAAACGAGAAATATGACGTTTTCTTTTATTTTCGTACTCTTGTGTCATAAATATCCGCATATATGGCAAACATCTGAATATAAAACTATTTTGCGAAAAACGAGTATTTTGTTTTGATTAGAAACAATTTAAACAGATTATTTCTTTCCTTCTTGATTCCAATCATTCTGCCCCCCCATTTCCCCGTCAACAAACAACACCTATTAGAACCTAGGAATGACTTTATACAATAAAATCTACATGTACTATAAATCAATTAGCAAAACAGGTACAAAGTACATTTCTTAGTTTTTTTCTTAGTTTTATCCAGAAAATACAATTAATGGTAAACATAGAATTAAACATATTTCCCTGATTTAAGTGGCTTTATTAGCTAAATTTCAACTTATCTTTATGCACTTATATATCAGCATATCATCAAGGTATTTCTTTACAGCTGAAATTGCTATAAATTATCAACCAAAGGAAGAGAATTCTAATATTAAGAAACTCCATAAATAAAAAAAAAATGTTATAAGTGATGAATAAATTTTCTTTTTGTAAATTGTGTACGTTAATAAGTATTAACAATGTTCTGCATATATCATAGTTGCAAAATCAACAGGTAAAATATAAGCCTGTGCGTATTACGCTGCTTTACGTAAAACAATATTCACATAGCAATTTTTGAACAATTTATTGAGATGTGTTTTAAGTTTAGTCATAAATCATGATATAATAGGGATGCATGCTTTTATCTATATATCAGTAATTTAATTTTGGTTGTAACGTGTAATTTGATTGGATAAAAATTAATCTGTATTGTATAACCTGGGTTGCCAAAATCACAATAACATACGTCAAAAACATATTAATCCACTTGACATCACATTTAAAATACAAACAATTTCAAGGCATTTTTAAGGGAGAAAGTAGGGATGGGTATCGCCAAAAATTTTGTATCGCGATATATAACGAGTTTCCCCCAAAATATCACGATAATATCGTGATATTTTTACAATCAATTTTTTACAATGATTTTTAATGAATTTTCATTATTTTTATTTAAAATATGCTAGAAAAACAATTTTTTTTTTTTCAAAATTTTATGAATTGTAATTTGAAAGATTGAACAAATAAATGAATAATTTCTGGACTTTATAATATGTACCTAAATACCAGTATTTAGGCCTCTGTATCATGATATGTATCACGCAAAAAAAAAAAAATCGCGATATACCGGTATAAGGATAAAATTGCATATCCCTAGGAGAAAGTGTCTCGTTTTCTATACTTAATAACTGAAAATAACTTGGGTAGCTCTCAAATTCATTCCTAAAATATATTGTGATTTTTTACTTCATGATACTTAGACTAAAATACCTGGTATACTTATACAATAAATACTTGGTATAAAATTACAAATTCTGAATATTAATTTATTTGTTTTGTTGAAAGTACAACAATGATGACATGGAATATGACAGACCAATTTTGATCAGAAAAGCTCGCTTGATCCTTCACCTCAGGTGAGATATAAAGCTTACATAATGAAAGAATGATAGATGCAAAGAAAATGCCACATCACTGTTAAGCCTGTCAAATTACAGACATTTTAAATATCATTATTCTAATAGGTGAACAATATCATTTTTTTTATTTAACATTCATTGACAGCTGCCACAATACTGACCCTGTGGATAAGAACACTAGCAATCTCTACATAGTCATTAGCAGCAGCAATATGAAGAGCTGTAAAACCCTCTGCCATCTTCTCATCAACAATAGATCGATCTTTGTCCATGATAACACTAACAGCTCTACAACAAACAAAAGTAATGCTAAATAATAGTAACATGTTCACAACATACAGTCAAACCCTGTCAACTCAATGGGACCAAGAAAAAACTTTAAGTACCCATCTTCATGTATCACAATGATCAGTCTAGGCCTAATGTAACTTTCTAGTTCTGAGCCAGACAGGATTTTTACATAGCATCTTTAATCAAAGGTCACAGTTACCTACTTTAAATGTGTATCAGCCAGCTGGAAAGCTGGACTGACATGAACCCCTTTATATTAGTTACATAGCGTTTTAGTGACGGGATGATACCGGGTTAGGAAATTTCACACCTGATTCGGCTTCGCCTCGCCAGGTATGAAATTTACTAACCAGGTATCATCCCGTACCGTCACTAAAACACTGTAACGAATTTACCCCACCAATGAAACATTTACGTTATATCTGTGGTTTATAAATGATTTTCTCTACTAAATGTTTCATCACACTTTTACTGTGCCTATTATGACATCACGTTGTGTTTGTTACGTAATACATTGACCGGGTATAGATTTACAGATTTATAAGTAATCCACCTCATTCATGTGACAGACTTCAACCAATAGTAAGCCAGGATTTCACAGAAAAATCAACAGAGGTGGGGTAACAGAATATTTCCTGACTGAAGACAGATATATAAAAGTTATCTATGTCATAATGAAAAGATACACAAAAAAATTGTTATTTATCATGAGTTATCAACTTTTGAAATTAAATGTTATTTAAAGAGTTTTGTTAATATGATGTTCATTTTGTCATGGTTAATACCAAAGGCAACATAATAAAAGTTCTAAAGCAAATCCATTAAACATTGTTTTGAAAGTTTTTGTTATCAATGGATGATGGCAATTTCTTCCACTCCATTTCCCTATTATTTTTTTAACTTAAAATGTCTTAATTTAAACACTTTGAATCTTCATTTCCATATAAATATCATTAATCATGGCTATATATACTTTAAAAGAAAGCAAAAGAAATTCACTTTTATATATTCCTATGTAAAACTTTGGTAGGACATTTTGGCCCCACCCTACCCCCTAGCAGTACAGGAACAGCAACAAGCTTGAATCTAGGCAAGTCAAAAAACCTTTGCATGCCGATAATTTCACATGAGTTTCTACACTACACGGTCATTGAGAATGAAGTGAGATACAGTTATTTGGATAGAGTTTTAAAAGATTTTACCAATACACATTGTGATGAAATTATTATTTATAAAGCACATTTTACAACAACTCTTAAACTAACATAACTGCCCTAAGTGAAGAAATATTGATAATTAATATATTCCATACAGTTACAGCTTTCGCTGGCCGCTGTGGTTCCTAGGCAAGATTTTCAAAATAGCTTTTTTTTTCTTATATATTCCTATGTAAAACTTTGAATCGGCCATTTTCAACCCTGGGCTGGGGTGGAAGTGGGTATCCATAAAAAAAGTGAATTTCTTTGTGCTTTCTATATTAATATTTCATCTTTCCTAAGGCAGTTAGGTTAGTTTAAGAAGTTTTTTAAAAACACCATTAATTTTATATATATATTTAATAATATATATATATATATATATATATATATATATATATATATATATATATACCGTAAATACCTAAGAATTTTTTGTAGATAAATTTTTAGCAAATTTGCATATAATTAATTTAGAAGTTATTTTCAGTGCAAATCCTTTAGTGTTTTTATTTTCAAAATTGTTACGACGACAACAACAACCACAGATTTCTTGACAAACGTTGCGAATATATTGGTATTCTAACTGTGCATACTAATTTGAAACATAAACTGATATGAAAATCCATTAAACATTGTTTTTAAAGTTTTTGACAATTCGCAAAATTTTGAAGCGTAAAAATTAATCAATTTTTTTTTAACCTTAAAATGTCGTAAAATAAACATGTAAAAATTTCAGATTTCCATTGACATTATTTCATATATATATATATATATATAGTTATATTCAAAAAATTATCTTTCCTTGGTATAGGGATATATCATGTCATCCCTCCCATACTAAACGAAACATCCCATTCAATATGGCCAGGCGAATTTGTACTATTGTTATTGATGAGGAGCGCAGAAATACAAGACTATGTGAACTAATTTTTAGGCTAGACAAAAATATCCATCAAAATTAATTGAGGCTGCTATACAAAAGGCAAAGGAAATACCCATTAACGAATTACGTACTATTAGACATCACGTTTTAAAGAGGAGAGTTACCAAAAGATGTTGTGATGAACCCACAACCCAAGAAATCACAACATCTTTAAAACTGCCAAACAATTTTTCCCTAAGTGAAGAAATATTCAACAATCAGAAACATTAAGGGACCTTATTAAACCAGAGGATATACTACACAGCAGGCGTCAACCTCCCAATTTGAAAAAGATTCTACCACTGCCAAATTTACAACAGCGCACTAGAAACCGATGGCTTTCTAAGCAAGTCAAAAAACTTGCTGTCAATTTTTAAAAACCGGCCAAACCATTATTTTTAAAAACGGAATGAAGTTTGACGTTAAATCTTCTATGACGTGTAAATCTAAAAACCTTATATACTTATGACGTGTCCTACATGTGAGGAAAATTATATAGGACAAGTTATGGAACCAAATTAGCCGATCGTGTGCGTGCACAAATAATAATTAATTTCATTACAACATGCAATGTAGTAACACTTTGATTCTTGTGGCAAAGGACATTTTTATATATTTCCTTTTTACAAAATAAAAGTGAAAATGAACAATTACGGAAAGCCAAAGAACAATATTTTATAAATCTGTTTAAACCAAAATTGAACTGCTAAAAGGAATTTATATCAAATTATTTTATTATGTACATTTTATATAAAATGTCTCCATTATTGTACATTTATAATAGGCGCTTAACTGGGTATCCAAGTAAATGTGAACTTTTCTTTGTGCTTTCTATATTAATATTTCTTCACACGGCAGTTATGTTATAAGAGTTGTTGTAAAATGTGCTTTATATATCATCGATATATATTATTTTTATATCATTATTATCAGGATTATATATATATATATATATATATATATATATATATATATATATATATATATATATATATATATTTTATATATCTTTATATTTATATATATATTTCTTTATTCTGTTGAAGCTTTTTTGCCTTGTAACTTACAGTCTGGAGTCCTTCATCGCTGCCCACTGTAATACATTGAATCCCTTGGCATTTGTTTCTTTATACTTGGCAAGAGAACTCCCTAGAACTGCTTGTATTATCTCAGAGTTTCCCTCTCTTTGACTTATTGCATCATGCATTGGAGTATCACCATCATTATCCTTAAAGAGTAAGGTAAAATAAAACATCATCACCTGAATTATTTAAATGTTCAGCTTAAGACAAACAAGATGTGTTTGTGAAACACTGATGCCCCGATATGGATACATACCAAAAGTAAGATATTCTCACTGGAAATACAATTGTGAAATATGAAAGTAGGCCAAGGTTAAAGTTTTTTTCATAAGTACAGAAATCTTCAAGGCATAGGTATCCAATGAGAGGTCTTGCCACAAAAAATACATATGTAAAGTATGGAAGCCCTGGTCCTGATAGTTCAGAAGTTAAGTCCGAGGTTAAATTTTTTAAAAAGTAAGTCAAACTCGAAGGTCAAGGTCAAAGGTTTTGCTATCAAATGAAAAGTCTTGTCATAAAACAAATATAACTATGTAAAGTATGAAAATTCCAAGGTCAAGGTCAAAAGGTCAAGGTAATTGGCATCTAATGAAAGATCTTGCCATATAGAATACATATGTAAAGTATGGAAGCCCTAGCCCTTACTATTAAGAAGTTATGGCCAAGGTTAAACTTTTTAAAAAGTAGGTCAAACTCCAATGTCAAGGTCAAAGGGTCAAATGTGTTTCTATCAAATGAAAGGGCTTGCCACACGGATTAAATATGTAAAGTATGAAAGCACTAGCCCTAACCCTTTAAAAGTTTTGGTCGAGGTTTGCTTAAACTCCAAGGTCAAGGTCAAAGAGTAAAAGTTTTGGTATCCAATAAAGGGTCTTTTCACTAGGATTACATATGTGAAGTACGAAAGCCCTATCCCTTACCGTTCCAAAGTTATGACCAAGGTTAAAGTTTTTTTACAACTTGGAAATTTCCAAAGTCAAGGTCAAAAGGTCATGGTTGTTGGTATCCAATGAAAGGTCTTTCAACAAAAAATACATATGTGAAGTACTAATGCCATGGTGCGTACTGTTCAAAAGATATGGCCAAAGTAAAAGTTTGAAATTTTTGTGTAAAAGTGGGTCAAACTCCAAGGTCAAGGTCAAATTTGGTGGTACCCAAAGAAAGGTCTTGTCACAAGGAATACACATGAGAAATATAAAAGTCATAGCTCCACTAAATCAAAAGTTATGGGCAAGGTTAAAGTTTTTGCGGACAAACAGAGAGGCAGACGGAGAGACAGCTAGACAGACAGACAGACACGACAAAAACTATATGCCCGGGATACTTCATTTACAGGGGCATAAAAAAACTTGTAAAACTTTTACATTTGACAGAGATTGCAATTAGGCAAAAACTGAAGAGGAAGCAATAGCAAAGTCTTGAAAAAAATTCCCCAAAAATCTTTTTTATTGACCATGACAATGGGTCACAAAGCTCAACTGAATCATGTTTGTCCCATTCTTATTCAGATTACCTCCTTTATACATGTATATTTTTTTGGTCTTAAATGATACCTCCCTGTTCTTTTTGGGTTATAATTTGTACAAAACTAGACCTACACTCTTATAATTTTCTATGTAAGTCTATAAGTTCATCTATTGGATCCTTGAGATTCAAGATTTCAACAATCCTTCAACAGTCATGATGATGAACTGAAAAAATTGAATCTACACTATGTCAGGAAGCTTTCACATAAGTTCAAGTTTTGGACAAGTGATTCTTAATAAAAAAAAATTCAAATGACCAACCCAACATTTACTTTTTCTTAATGATCTCTTCTTGGAAGAGTGTGTGGCCCTTAATTGAAGAGAATTGAATTTCTTGTACCTGTAGATTCCTAAATATACGCATGGAATTAACTATCACGTGTTTTCGCAGGAAAACCCACTTGAGCCTTTGGATCAGGTGAGCTAGGAACTGATCACTCATTGCAGCATCCTACCCCCATTGAAACGCAAAATAAAATTACTCGCCTTTATTTTTTGGTTGTTGAAATCTATGTAAAATCTCTTGATCAACCGACCATTCGCAAATTATTATTCTCATGATTTGTTGTTTACGAGTCCTTTTGCGATAATAAGTACTTGCAAAAAATAAGGAATCTACAGTATTCAGACTTATGTTGTTGTGCATGACATTAAAAAATTGAATCAAGATCCCGACTTAAAAGTTGCGTCAGGCCATTTTTAGCCAGTTGGTCAGTAGGGGCAAATGCATATTTTTTTTAAGGATGGCCTTGTAAATTGTTTTCCTTCCTTTTTTTTTAATCTTTTAGTGACCTTTGACTTCAGATCAAGACATGGTTATTGGCAATGCAAAATTTAGGATTGAAAACATCCTAAATGTATTCAAGAGTTATTTAAAGTTTATGTCAAGATTTGTGAGAGATGTACATAAAACATCATGACAGACAGAAACTTCTTTTGTGTTACCTTTAGGGATGGATTGGCTCGGTGTTTAAGTAAAACTTTAACACATTCTGGACTTGCTTTCCCTACTGAGATGTGAAGAGGTGACTGCTTGCTTTTGTTAATGATGTTGGCATCTGCACCAAATCTCAGGAGTTCTTCCATGGTTTTATGCTCTTTTCTACAAGACAAATAATGATAGGTGTACATCTACTTCTGTGTAACTTGTACTACATTACTTTATTAATGCTGTATAATTTTTCCCTGTCAAATAATCAAAAGGCACATGCATGGCCCACAATGCTCATCTTAATTACCTTGGACCTGCTGTTCTTGTTTTGAAAAGATATTTTTTCTTTCACCTCATAAGATCATGACTTACTAAGTCTTAAATCTAAAGAATACTGGGATCAATGCTTCAATTAAACGAGGTGCACATCTAATCCTGAGAAGACTGAAGACAGTAGATTTGATCATGTACCAGCCATGATTTTGAACATCCACATCACCTCAGGAAGCTTCTACACACCTTTCAGCATTCCTAGGTCAGTGGTTCTTGAGAAGAAGATGTTCACAGATATTTCTTATTATTTCAATAAAATTTTGGTTCCCAATTGTGGACTTGACTTGACTCATTTATATAATTTTAACTCCCCTGCACCCAAGGATGACTTGTAACAAGTTTGGTTAAAATTGGTTCTTGAAGAGAAGTTGAAAATGTGAAAAGTATAAAGACAGACAACAGTTGATCAGAAAAACTCGCTTGAGCTTTCAGCTCAGGTAGGATAAAAATGTTTTGAAAATAGCTTCTTTGATCAATGTCTTTGAATTTTTCATACATAAACATGGAGCTGTTCTCCCAAATCCCCAAAATTTGGTGTTCATATCCTGTAATTACTTTTCTGCAGTATATAACAACGACAGATATTGAAAACAAAGAAATAAATTTGCAACCTTTCAGGGTCAAATCACAAAAATTTTAAACTTTGATCCGAGTTCTCTACAATTCAGGTGTCATAAAGACGTGTAAATTACCCAAAAGCACTGTAGTGTAGTGGACTGTCATAAAGACGTGTAAATTACCCAAAAGCACTGTAGTGTAGTGGACTATCATAAAGACGTGTAAATTACCCAAAAGCACTGTAGTGTAGTGGACTGTCATAAAGACGTGTAAATTACCCAAAAGCACTGTAGTGTAGTGGACTGTCATCTTCGGAATCTTTCAGGTTCGGGCTTGCTTTGTTTTCTAACAAGAATTTGACAACATCCACATAACCTTCATAACATGCAATCTGTAGTGCTGTTTTACCCTCAAGTTTTTGATCCACCTGTGAAATTTAGTATAAAGGAATGTAAATCATACATGACTGTACAGGCCTTAATCAACTAAACATGAAGAATACCCATCTACTTGTCATTATATCCAACCTTTGTATCAAGTTTGTCAATTATTAACTGAAATCTAAAGTTTCAAAATTTGATGTGAAGAATAGCAACAAGATAGCTGAATTTTGACTTGAATATCACATGGCCATCTTTGTAGTGCAGAGGAATCAGCACTGATAAATTAATTGTAGTGGATTTATTTCAAACTTCCAAATCGGATTTAAAGAGTGTGTTTACACTAAGTTAGTTCTCATATAAAACTTTAATCCCAGTTGTGGACCCTCCTTATGATTTGAACAAAACTGAATTATACTAACTAAGGATGCTTACATATTCCTTTGACTATTAACTGTGTTTTTCCTTACAAATTTAAACTTTCACTGTGGTCCCCTCCTACCCCCTGGGGTCATGACTTGAACAAATATGAAACTCCGTAATCGTATGAATGCTTCCACATCCCTTGAATCTATACTACCTGTGGATGTTTCAGACTGAGTTTCATCTTTCCTGCCTCAGTGGTTCTTGAGAAGATTTTAAAAGATGCCATTAATTTTGGAATATGACAATGCCCTTCATTTGAATAAATTTTTTGCACCCTTTACATGTCAAGGATGCTCTGTGCCAAGTTTGATTGAAATTGGTACTGTGGTTCTAAAGAATGTGGAAAATGTGAAAAGTTAACAGACAGACAGAATACATACAAGATCAGAAAATCTGACTTGAGCTTTCAGCTCAGGTGAGCTAAAAACTTTACTTCCTATAAATTTTATTTAAAACTTTAATCCCCCATTGTGGCCCCACCTTATCCCAGGGGGCATGATTTTAAACAAAGAACAGGGTTCACTTATAGCCCTTTTTGGCCCTGTGAATTTCTGAAAAACTGAAACTGCTTAATATTAGTTAACAATGCATTAAATATCTTTTAGACCTTTGTTGATTGCATATATCTATCAAAAATGAAGTAATTTTCTGGCTAGTCAATTAATGCATTATGACGCCATGAAATGCGTCAATTTCCTCATATTCTGAAAAAGTCTTCAAAAACTGCCAATTTTTAAAGCATTTTTCAATATTTAATATAGAGTGCAACCTCTGATCTAAAATGTGCAACTTGTAAATGATAGAACTATTGCTGAGGATTACAAAACATGTTTTATTTTTTAGATCAGAGGGTGTGCTCATATTATTTTTCTTCTTGGAAAGTACGCAAATATACCTGTTTATATTAAAATTCAAGAACATTGCAATTCAATAAAGCCCAGGGTTCTCCATCGTTCAAAATTTTACTGTGTTGCATAGTTTACTCGAAGCACTAAAATTTCGCAGTATTTTTGCGATCAAATTCGCAACTGAATAACTATTCATTATAATTAATAAAGAATACATGAACACACTTTTTTAAAAATCGCTAATTCTTTACACAAATGGTATGGTCGTATATATTGATAAAAGTAAAAAAACACTTTCTGAAAAGCAGAGGAAATTCTGGTCGATATAGTCGAACAACTGAACATTTTTGAAAGTAAATTTGCCATGATTAGGCCAAAAAAAAATTAATCAATAGTTTCTCGGGCACCACCGCATCAGTTCAAAAACGGCCACATTGATCAATTTTATTGACATATTGGAATGGACAACAATAGTTATCAATCAAATCTCAGAACCTATCAATTCATATAAATAGAATTCCTATGAAATTCTACCCAATCATTACCTTATCTGGGAAATTTTTAACAATTTCCTTGACAGCTTGAAGGTCCCCCTGTCCTGCGGCCTGTACAATACTGATTGTCCCTGCAGCATGTCCAGGCATTCCCCTTAGCATGTCTACAAACAACTGAGCAATGGCTTCTGCTACATCTACAACAAAAAGATGTCATTCATACACCATTATAAAGTCAATTAAATGAATAATTAGTTCTAGGACCAAAAATGCTGCAGGTGGGTTTTCTCTTTTTATGCCCCCATAAAAGAAGTTTCTGTGGTATGTAGTTTTTGCCCTGTCTGTCCGTCTATCTAGCTATCTGTTTGTCTGCAAAAACTGCACATAACTTTTGAGTTGATGGGGCTATGGCTTTCATATTTCACAGTGTATTCCATGTGAAAAGACCTTGCTTTGGGTATCACCAAATTTGACCTATTGACCTAGGAATTTGACATACTTAAAAAAAACTCACACTTTTACTTTGGCCCTAACTTTTAAACTGTGGGTACTAGCCTAAGGTTATTCATACTTCTCATATGTATTCTGTGACAAGACCTTTCATTAAATTCTAACAACTTTGACCTTGACCTTGGTAGATTGACCTACTTTTCAAAAATTTTACCTTTGCCTGAAATTTTAGATGGTAAGGGCTAGGGCTTTCATATTTCACAGATGTAATCCTTGTGACATGACCTTTCCTAGGATACCAACAACTTTGACCCTTTGGTCTTGACCTAGTAGTTTGACCTACTTTAAAAAAAAACTTTAACTTTGGCCATAACGTTTTAATGGTAAGGGCTAAGGCTTTCATACTTCACATATATAATCCTTGTGACAAGACCTTTGATTGAATTCCAACAACTTTGACCCATTGACTTTGACCTATTTTTAAAAAAACTTTAACCTTGGCCATAACTTTTGAACAGTTAAAGTTAGGGCTATCATACTTCAAATACAAGGGTTGTCCAAAAAGTTCATGGACAATGACGTTTTTGTGAAAATAAATGGTTCTATACAAATCTGTTGTATATCAAAATATTTCTTGCGAAAAAACAAGTCAGAGTGATTTAAATCTTATTGATGGAACGTAATATTTTTGTAAAAATCGGGGTCTTTAAAGATTGCAGATAGTGCACACTGACCATGCAAGGTTAAAATGACATAAAATCTGATATACAGTGTTTGGATTAAAGTGATTATTTTCTACATAAAACAAGTCAAAACTTAATAAAAATTTTATGTTACACAAATATAGAGGCTATAATCATTTTATAATGTTTTATGTATCGCTTATTGTATAGACAATGCAAATACTAAACAAAAACCCTAACAAACACGTTACTTTTTGACACAAAAAGTAACGTCGGCAGTACGAACTGGGCAACATCTGGTCAAAAAAATATGTTTTAATACAGTTGAAACGAAGTAAGAGACAAAATATTTGTTAAAACAATTCAAAACTAGAACTGTCCAATAGGGACAAATACCCCCGCTGGGTTTTTCAGAGTAGGTGCCAATTCAGAAATATTTTATGGATCTAGTAAGAGGTGTTCACTATTGTCTAATAAAGTGCCCCGCCACAGCATGATACCCCCATCAAATATTGTTCGATAATCATAAATTGGTTAGGGTGCAAGAAAATCAAGTAACCTTGATTAACAGATTGACACAGATTTCAATGATCTAATTTCCATTTCTTATCATGCTTAAAATATTGTACATACATCTCTAAGAGACTTACAGTGTAGGGATTAATTAAAACAAATAATACATCATATAATTCTAAACTGGCTGTGTTAGAGCTTAACAAATATCCATCTGCAGCTTTCAATTGTTTATTGCATATTTTATGAAATAATGGAAATGCTACAGTTTAATAAAACAAGAGGCCCAAGGGCCACATCGCTCACCTGAGCACATCTACTAGGAAAAAGCACATATCAGATAAAAACTGAAAGTTTACTGGAGACATGACTGCAACTTTGGGTGTCAAATATATAAAAATCTACACTATGAGGATGATTCCATATAAATAGGAAAATATCACTAATCATTTTATACTTGAAAAGAAGATTTTAAAAGGTTTCCCTATATATCCTTATGTACAACTTTGGTCAGCCATTTTGGGCCCAAAACTAGCCCCAGAGGTCATGATTTAAACAAGCTTGAATCTTCACTCACTGAGGATGATTCCACATAAGTTTCTCTTTCCTAACACAAAGGTTATTGAGAAGAAGATTTTTAAAGAATTTTCCTATATATTTCTATATAAAACTTTGGTCGGCCATTTTGGCCCCACCCTTGTCCCGGAGGTCATGATTTAAACAAACTTGAATCTACAATACCTGAGGATGATTCCACATGAGTTTCATCTTTTCTGGCATAGTGGTTCTTGAGAAGAAGATTTTTAAAGAATTTTTCTATATATTCCTATGTAAAACTTTATGTCAGCCATTTTGGCCCCACCCTAGCCCCAGGGGTCATGATTTGAACAAACTTGAATCTACACTACCTGAGGATAATTTCATTTAATAAGTTTCATATTTCATTTCTCAATGATTTTTAAAAGAAAATTTTTAAAAGATTTTCCTATATATTCCTATGTAAAACAACTATATTGGCCCCACCCTAGCCCCATTTTTAAGCAATTATGAAATCCACACTTAAAATTCCACATGAGTTTCATCTTTCCTGGCCCAGTGGTTCTTAAAAAGATTTTAAAAGATTTGTTCTATGCATTTCTATGTAACTTTGTTCGGCCATTTTGGCACCACCCTAGCCCCGGGGGTCATGATTGGAACAAACTTGAATCTACACTACCTGAGGATGATTCCACATGAGTTTCATTTTTCCAATTCCAGTGGTTCTTGACAAAGATTTTTAAAAGATTTTTCCTATATATTCCTATGTAAAACTTTGGTCGGCCATTTTGGCCCCACCCTAGCCCCTGTAAAATGATTTGAACAAACTTGAATCTACACTACCTGAGGATGATTCCACATGAGTTGCATCTTTCCTGGCCCAGTGGTAGAAGAAGATTTTCAAAGATTTTTTCCTATATATTCCTATGTAAAACTTTGGTATGCCATTTTGGCCCCACCCTAGCCCCGGAGGTCATGATTTGAACAAACTTGAATCTACACTACCTGAGGATGATTCCACATGAGTTTCATCTTTCCTGGCTCAGTGGTTCTTGAGAAGAAGATTTTTCAAAAATGCTATTAATTTTTCACTAATTCATAATTATCTCCCCTTGGAAGAGGGCGTGGCCCTTCATTTGAACAATCTTGAATCCCCTTCAAATATATTTGTGCCAAGTTTGGTTGAAATTGGCCCAGTGGTTCTTGAGAAGAAGATGAAAATGTAAAAAGTTTACAACGACAACAACGACGACAAACGACAACGACAACGACAGACGACGGACAAATTTTGATCAGAAAAGCTCACTTGAGCCTTCGGCTCAGGTGAGCTAAAAAATCAAAAATTAATTATTCTTTAGACTATAAAATTCTAAGTGAGACATGACTGCAATTTGTTGCAAATATATAAAAATTGAAATGTAATTTTTTTTTTAATGAACACATGTATAATTAATTTTAATTATATTATTCAATACTAATTCAGTTTTAATCATACACTAAAACATCAATTTGTTTTAATTACATTACACCAATTGAAAGAGTGTGAACTACAGCCATCAAGAACTCTTAATTAACACAAGCAACTATAAGGCCTTTTTTTTTTTGCCCAACTCCCAAGAGATAAATTAAGATAACACAGCATGATGCTCTTGTTAGTTAACTCCCGACAATGAACTCATTAATTTCTCTCTAATTTGACATGCACATTTCTGCTATCAAAATTTCTCCTTGACCAGTGCTTGATAATTATGCCCATGGGACAAACTGAATTCCTTTCAAATCATTAACATTTGTTACAGAATTTGCTGTAAAGTATATGATAAAAAATAAGCTTTTACTTAATTTAGCATTTTTTAATAAGGATACAACTATATTTTTACATTTTTTAGGATTATGAAATTTAAAATTTTAAAGACTTATTTTTTTTTTAAAAATCACTTAAATTAAAGGTCACAGTGACCTTGAAATAGGTCGTGACACACCGTCTACCCAAGATGCATAAATTGTCCAAGTTTGATGATTGTAAGTCTAATAGTTTTCTAGTTATGAGCCAAACAAAATCACAAAATAAAAAGGAAAAAATGCCTGTAAAATGCAGAAAAATCATCCAATCATGATGAAAATCCCAGGTGCACACCTTCATATGGTAAATAATAAGTGTATAAATTTTCAGTCAAATCCATCCAACAGTTTCTGAGAAACGGTCTGGACAAAATCTTGTCTACAGACAGACGGACAGACAGACAGACATGGTGATTCCAATATACCCCCCTAAACTTCGTTTGCGGGGGTATAATTATTGAAATATATTTAGTGTATTGATTTGAGGTTGGCATTTCAATAGAGTGTACAGATTCAAAGACACTACAAGAATTTAAAAACACAAGTAATTTACTATTTATTGCTAGCATTTGGAAGTGTGTTGCCCCTTAAAACAGAAATGTAGTGTAGTGTGTCCATGAACATGTGTTAGGTCTAAATCCAAATATTAAGTCTCTATCTTTCATGGTTCAAAAGTTATGGGGAAGGTTAAAGTTTGCAGATAAAAAGACAAAAACAATATATGCCCCGGATCTATCAATCCGGGTGCATAAAATTCAAATCATTCTGACTTGGTTTTTCATAAGAAATAATTTGGTATACAATAGATGCATACAGAACTATTTATTTTAACAAAAACGTCATTGTCCAAGATCTTTTTGGACAACCCTCGTATGTAATCCTTGTGACAAAACCGTTCTTTAGAAACCAACAACTGTGACCCTTTGACCTTGACCTAGGGGTTTGACCTACTTTTGAAAAACTTTAACCTTGGCCATAACTTTTGAACAGGTGGTACTAGGGCTTTCAGATTTCACAATTTTTTTGCTTGTGAGAAGACCTTACTTTGGGAACAAACATACTTGATTTGCATTTGAGAAAGTTTCACCTTTGCTATGTTGCCATAAGGGAGCATCAGTATTTCACAAACACATCTTGTTTTTTGCAAATGACGAAACCAGCAACACAATTTTCTAATTTGAAATCATGTTATTACTTGATACTCAGTTGCCATTTAATGAAAAAATGTTATTTAGACAAAACTTTCAAAAGAAAAGTTTATTGATTGCTATCAGGGAATATGATTTTTCAATTGAGGAATACACCAATTCAAGTCAAACATAGGTAATCAAAGATTATGAAGCTCACATTGACGAATCTTATCAGTAAAAGTAATGTAACTCTCATATCACATTTTCTTAATAGTTAGAATTTATCTTGACAATAATATTCAAGCAAGTTCTGTTTAAATAGGCCTTAAAGTTCACTGGGGATTGACCTGTTAGCCGAGTCCCAATACGGATTTCCATTTCACACCTGTATGAATCCGTATTAGGTCACTAACTGACTGTGTAACGAATTTATCCCGCTGAAGACCTTTTTCAATATAAAAAAAATATTTGTGCATATTATGAAAATATTAGTTTTAATCCAATAACAATCAACATAAAATATCGTTACGGTAACAAGAAATTTAACTACACTACCTACGTTAACCGTTTCTTAGTCGCCATTTTTATTTACAATAACAACGCTTCGAACGGAATCGCGTGCCCCATTTTCATATTACGCCTCGACGGAGACGTAATATGGAAACGGAGACGTAATACGGAAAATTTCAGGGCGTCATGTGATTAGCTTTTATCCAATCAGTAATCGACAAATTTTTCTGAAGCGGGATAATATAAAGTCCAGAAATTATTCATTTATTTGTTCAATATTTCAAATTACAATTATAGAAAGTATAAAAAATGTTGTAAAAGGTGAAAAGAACAACGTCTTACCATCCAAACATGATTAATTCTATGCACATAAAAATTTCAAAAAAGTTAAATTTTGTTATTCTAGCATATTTTTAAGTAATATGACGGTTGATCCAAAAGTAATGTCACAACTTTGATAAAATTGCTATAAATCGACATAAAGCAACAAAATTATACATGGTGGAAGCATTATTTCAAATCAGACCTGAAAAATTCAAAGGAATATGATGTATACTTTCCAAAATATCGGATTTTAAACATTGTGCGTTTATGGTAGTCACCGCACCTAAATATAACGCCATATGACGGATACGCACCGTCATACTTTTAAGTGTTTCCCCTTCGTTTCATTAAAACAATATGAAACAATTAAAACACTTTCACCAGTTTCACTTTTTTGAAGAGTTCTTGGTACAACTAGGAGACTTATTGTTCACAGAACAATAAGAGGTCTTTCCACCTTTTTTGAATTTCAAATTTGTTATATATCTGCCTCCTTAAAATTAAATTCCATGAAAAAGAAACCAAAATGGTCTTAAAGCATAGAAAAAATGGAAATAAAAAAATTGGAATGACCTTGACCTTGAGAAAATGTTCAAGGTCAAAGGTCAAGGTTCACAATGCAAATGACCCCATGCTTCTACGACTTATAGCTTTCAAGTTATAATGTTTAATAGTAAGTACAAAGAAGTTAAAGGGCAATAATTCATATAAGGGGTAATCAGATCCTTTCGCACCTATACAGTGAAGTTAGGCCTTTAGACCCTTAAGACATCAGTGAAGGTTTGGTGTCTCTACGGTGTATAATTTCGGAGGAGTAGCGATAACAAGGTTTTTCGCACAAGGGGCAATAACTTTTAAAAGGGTCAATCCTAGGGGACAAGAACAAAATATTTAAAAGAGTATTAAGAGTGCATGTTAAAGAGAGAAGATAGATAGTATATGTTTAAGGATATAAGAGCTATTGAAAGAAATTTATTCCTCATATTTGGAATGACCTTGACCTTTGACATTGAAATAAATTTGAAGTTCAAAGGTCAATGAATCTTATGCACTTAGACCCATGTCTCTATCACTTCTCGTTTTGAAAATTTTCAATTATTTCTAAAATTAAAAAAGTTTCAGGGGCAATAACTCAATGAAGGGGTCACCAAAAATTTTCGCAATGAATAGATTCCAGAGTCCTCTTAATTAGTAGAAGACTTTAGTGAAAGTTTCATATTTCTACGGTTTACGGTTTCGAAGGAGTAGCGATAACAAGCATTTCTTGCGAAAGGGGCAATAACTTCGAAAGCGGTCAACGATGAAACATGGGGGGTCGTTTTTCGAAATAACTTTTGATATCCAATATCATGAACTATAAAGTTTTTCGATAAGTCTTGCGGTTTCAAAAGTCCGGGAAGAAAAATAATAATAAACATAAGCATTTCAAGAGGTCTTTCCACAGAAAGGTGGAAAGACCTAATTATACACTCAATCATTTCATAATTAAGCCCTCTGTCAAAATTTTTTGAACGGTAGCAAAGACAAACTTAAAAATTCGCATAATATGCATGTCACTCTATACGTCTGTCTTTTTTTACGTCAGACACCATTGAACGTTTCCGTCCGATCTCCTATCTTTCGGTCTTTTTGTCCTCTGCTGATCATTCAGTGACCAATCACCCGCCCAAAATTGCTGAACCCATCTATGAAGATGTCTCTTACTTACATTCTTTATTCTGTAGTCTGATTAACTAACGAAACTGTCGCTTGTGATGATTCCCATATTTTAAAGAAACAAATGCATTACAACTCGTCGAGCCGGTTTTTCGCATTTCGAGAATCCCGTTCAATTCAACGGAGTAAAACAATGTTTATTATCACTAATACCAATGCCATTCTATAATCTTTAAATAAAGACTAGAAAATGACGAGAATTGCGCCTTTTAAACAATTGAGAGATTAAGTGCTTTTTTAGAATCTTTTTAATGTGTTTGTCTTTTTCATTCTAAAAAAAATACACTTTAAAACGTGACATTCCGTTGTGACGCGGCGACACCCCCTATGCTCTATGATTTAAACATCTATAAAATAAATTCAAATAAACATTATTAAATTAAAATTTCAATGTTAATTAGATTTATATCTGTGCATCTTTTGGTATATTGTTTTTGATAATATGACGCCAAATATAAAAGATATGGACACTGTGACATTACTTTTGGATCAACCCTCGTATAATGACAATTCATTAAAAATCATTGTAAAAATTGATAGTAAAAATATCATGATATTATCGTGATACTTTGAGAAAAAATCGTGATATATAACGATAAGAAATTTTTGGCAATACCCATCCTTAGTCTATCCCTAGATGCATCATTCATGCAAGTTTGGTTTGGGTAGGGCTTATATAGTTACTTGGGAATGGACCTGCTCCAAAATTTTAACCTATTCACTCATCTGGAAAATGCAAGTCACATCCAGCATCCGAAGCAAGTCCGGTAGTGTCCATCCCTACACGTATCATCCATGCAAGTTTGGTCCAGGTAGGGCTTATAGTTACTTGAGAATGGACCTGCTCCTAAAACTTTAACGGGGATGTTGACGCTAACGCCCGGGGTATAGCATAAGCTCATCTCGATTTTGTTGAGGTGAGCTAAAAAGTCTTCAAGTTGAAAATCTCTTGAAATGGGCAAGATTCTATATACTGTTAACTGTTATGTTCTATTTAAAATATTTGAATGAACAAAATCTGTTACTGAATGGGAAAAAATACATTAGCATTTGTCTTATTTACCATTTGAAGGAGCATCAATGGATTCTGTATCAGAGTCTACACATTCAGCAGCTGGAATGGCTGGGATTTCTTTAGCTACGGCTGCATTCTCTACTGGCATGATACAGACTGGACTAAATATCCAGGTCCTTTCTTCTATCTTCACTCGGATATCCCCATCCTGGTCGATCTTTACAATGCGACCATTTTTACCAAGAGCCTGTAATATGTTGCTTTTATGGTATTATTACTGCATGACTGCAAAAGGCAGGATAACGCATGGACTTTAAAATAAAAATCACATTTGAAGTATAAAAGGCAGAGAGTTTAAAAAATGTAAATATAAGCAATGAATCATAATTTATCATTATTATCAAATTTTTATAACGTGCTAACAAGCAATGCTATGGATTGAAAATTAGGGTTAAAAAACTATTATGCCTGTAAATTAAATAATAAACTGATTCATCAGAATTTCAAAAATGCAATCAACTGCTTGAATTATATCAGAAATCGACTGATTTTTTTATCAAAATCGATGATTGGAACACCACTACGCATTACTCATTTTGCACACACACCCTCACAATGACAATTGCAGGAATTAATCTAGGATTTTGGGGAAACTACCCTTTTGGAGAAATTGGGAAAATCAGCCAGGGTCTGCAAACCATTTAAGCGAGTGCAGGGCAAGCCCTTCTAGGGGGCCAACTGAATTTCAGCGTTTTTAAGACCAATTAAAGCACATAAAGTAGCAAAGTAAAAGCATATTTCTTGTATAGTGAAAAAATTCACTTTAAATTTTCAGTTTTTATGAAGGAAAAAAATATTTGAGATTATTAGTATTTTAAGGGGAATATTTTACTCATTAAAAAAGGGAAAATTAGATCTTCAGGGGATATTTTCTCTGGGGAAAAAAACACCGAATATTGGTAGTAAATATGCCCTAGATTAATCCCTGGTATTTAAATATTACTTTAAAACAGTGATCAGACGCAAGTTAGAGCTCATAGCTTCCCTCTCTGAGAACAACACAGCAGTGTCTTACCGGCCTCATGTCATCATAGTGACTTACAAACCTCATGTCACTGTTCAGTGACTTACCAGCCTCATGTCATTGTTCAGTGTCTTACCAGTCTCATGTCATTGTTCAGTGTCTTACTGGCCTCATTTCATCGTTCAGTGTCTTACCGGCCTCATGTCATCATTCAATGACTTACAAACCTCATGTCATTGTTTGGTGTCTCATTGTTCAGACTGTTCAGTGTCTTACCGGCCTCATCTCATCGTTCAGTGTCATACCCGCATCATGTTATTCTACAGTGTCTTACTGGCCTCCTGTCATCATTCAGTGTCTTACCCATCTAATGTCATTGTTCAGTGACTTACCAGCCTCATGTCATCGTTCAGTGTCTTACCGGCCTCATGTCATAGTTCAGCATCTTACCGGCCTCATGTCATCGTTCAGTGTCTTACCGGCCTCATGTCATCTTTCAGTGACTTACCGGCCTCATGTCATTGTTTGGTGTCTCATTGTTCAGTGCCTAATGTCATAGTTCAGTGTCTTACTGGCCTCACGTCATTGTTCAGTGACTTACCGGCCTCATGTCATCGTTCCAGCCTCCATGGCCCTCCTGTAAATCCTTCACCACATTGTAGGCAGACAATACTTTTACAGCCTCTCCCTGAGTAAATGTATGGATCTACAAGCACACACAAAATCAAAATAAAACCTCTTTATAAAACCACTTTATATTTGTTGGTTTTATATACCAGTATATTCATCAAATTAATGAACTGGATTGAACAGAGTAGATTATAATTGCCTATGATCATTCTCTCCATAGGTCATAGGTCACTCAATGAATAAAATCAGTATGTAGTAAAGACAATCTTCCATTATATTTCTTCATTCATTGTGTATCTTGACATCCATTTCCATGAAGTTTGGTTTAAGTAAGACTGATAGTTTCTTGGGAAAGGAGATGCCCAAAAACTTAAAACCAGGGACTCATCTTAAATATTAGGTCAGATACAGCATCTGAAGCAAGTCTGGCAGTATCCATCCCTAGATAAAACATCATTGCAAATTTGGTTTAAGTCTGACTTATAGTAACATGTACCTGGGAATTGACTAGCTCAAATCCTGAAAATTTCTCCCAAACTTAAAGCTGTTTTTCAATGTGCAGCAAATGCCACAACCTCTGATCCAAAATGTCTGTTATATTTAAAATTCAAGAACTGAGAGATTCATCAGATTACATGTATAATCAATGATTTATATTTTGGAGGTGAGCTCATGTTTGAATTTTTTTTGAAAAGGTACTCAACTACACCAATTTTCTTCAAAATTCAAAAACAATGGAATTTCCCAAAGCCTGTTTTCCAATACCTCAGCTCTTAAACTATTTCATAGGAATTAAAGCATAAAATCTTGATTGATGTTTGAAATGAGACATTAGGACTTGGTCAGTTAACTGGAATATGGGCAGGATCATTTTAAAGATAGCTTAAAGTGAATGTAGCTCTTACAGTCTGAAAGTGATATTAAATAATAAAGTCTGTATTACAGTATATCAACCCTTTCTCTCTTTCCAACAGCAGATGTATGAATTGAAAATCCTACATTTTTCAATAAGAGGCCCATGGGCCACATCGCTCACCTGAGAAACTTTGGCCATGCTGTTCTTTAACAGATTTCCCCCATTTGTAATACCAGTTGTGACCACGTCCTATCCCCAGAGATCATGATTTGGACAATTTAGAATCTACACTACCCCAAGATGCTTTCACATGAGTTTCAGCTTTCTGGCCCAATGGTTCTTGAAAAGAAGATTTTCAAAGATTTTTCCATAAATATTTTAATGTAAAACTTGGATTCCCCATTATGGCCCACGCTACCCCCAGGGGTCATGATTTGGACAATTTAGAATCTACATTATTCCAAGATTCTTCCACATAAGTTTAAGCTTTTCTGGCCCAGTGGTTCTTGAGAAGATTTTAAAAGTTTTTTCCTATATATTTCTATGTAAAACTTGAATTCCTTATTGTAGTCCCACCCTACCCCTGGGGGTCTTGATTTGAAAAATTAAAATCTACACTACCCTAGGATGCTTCCACATAAGTTTCAGCTTTTCTGGCCCAGTGGTTCTTGAGAAGATTTTTTAATGGCCCAAACCCTATGTTTGTATTTTCTTGATTATCTCGACTTGGCCCTTGATTTTAACAATTTAAATTCCCCTTTACCCAAGGATGCTTAGTACCAAGTTTGGTTGAAATTGACCCAGCGGTTCTTGAGAAGAATTTGAAAATGTGAAGAAAAGTTTACAGACAGACAACGGACAACGGGTGATCAGAAAAGCTCACTTGAGCTTTTAGCTCAGGTGAACTTAAAACATATGGTAACTTTTATGTTTAAATGAATAAAAATTAAGATACTAACTCTGGTTAATGCAGCTCTGTTGATACTCCAAATGCTACTGTCTTCATATTGTACTCGACAAGTCTTCCCTTGAAACAAAATTTGTACAATAGTTCCAAGCTGTCCAATACACTGAAAACAAAGAGAAAGGGAAGATAATCACAACATCTTCTTGTGAACTTATACACAATGACAAGTCCATGGACCAGAGAGTTCCCTTGGATTACTTAAGGGAGCCAACTATAGTTTTATTGTGTGAAAACTACAATAGCGAAACTCTTCATTTTTATACCATATACGACTTACATTAACTTCAGTGTACATGCAAAGTTTGGGGGAAATCTACCATCCAGGTATTTTTGAGGGACTGTCTCAAAATACAGGTACATTTACTTTAGGATTATATAGAAAAATGCCAATTTTTAGCACATTAAAGCAAATTATACAAATACTACAATAGACATTTTGTTCAAACTATAATATTTGAATAGTAGTACTATATTATACAATATATGTAAGAAACACAAAATTCTACCGTCTTGTTACCAAAGGGGGCATCTCAAAATGCAAAAAATTAGCAAATTTTACTATTTTTATAGAGTATTACAAAATATGACGTACACAATGGATTCACATGAAAACAGAATAAAAATATTGGAGATATTCTTAAATTTCTATGTTTTAAATTTCAAGAGCGTATGTTTATTATTTTTTCTTTAATAATATTTTTATTACCCCTTTCTTTAAGAGCTACAGATTATCATTACGTCAAAAACACACTGCAACGACGTCAACCTACCTATCAATTGCAAAATCGGTTAAAAAAATCAATTATATCAAATTGTAATTACATTTTTATACCTATAATTTCTTAATTTTGTTTAATTTTAATAATTAAGTGAAAAAAGTTGCATTAAAACAGTAAATACACTTCATTTTACTATGATGCGCGAAATATTGCGCAATGGAAACTATAGTCGGCCCCCTTAAGTGTTGAAGTTCTTTGAAAAGGATCACCCCATATTATGGCTAACCCTAACTCCAAAGGTTTTCTGGATCCACAAACCATGAAAGTGATTTGGAGTAAGAGTCCTTGTGTTATAATTATACAATATGGGTAAAAAAAATATTACAGAAACAAGTACCTGTGCTAAGTCCCTAGAAAATAAGCCGAGTGTGTGATTTATATGATGTCACTACATCTCTTGTATTAAGTATAAGATTTGATACGAGACTGGGATACTGTAGGCTGCATCCATAGTTATTTTCGCCCCATTTAATTTTCACCCTTTCACACTCGCAAACAATTTTTTTCCCCATTTTAAACTCACCCAGTCATAGTATTGTTTAAGAAATTATACCGTATTCTTTGAATTCGCCTGGTTTTAATGAGGGTAGGGCGAAAATAAAATGGGGGCAAAGATTTTCCTTTATACAGTACATGTACTTCCCTAGTACTGGATGAGTACAGTGTGAGATAAAGAATGAGAATTCAGGCCTGTTACTTAGTGATGTGTACAGAGTACAGTGTGAGATAAAATAGTAATGAGAGTTCAGACTTGTTACTTAGTAATGAGTACAGAGTACAGTGTCAGATATAAAGTGATGAGAATTCAGACTTGTTACTTAGTAATGTGTACAGAGTACAGTGTGAGATATAATAGTAATGAAATTCAGACCTGTTTCTTTAGAATAGTGTGAGATATGAAGTATTGAGAATTCACACCTTTCCTTAGTACAGTGTGAGATATAAAGTTATGAGAATCCAGGCCTTTCCTTAGTACAGTATACAGTGTGAGATAAAGTAATGAGAATTCAGACCTGTTTCTTTAGTAGATGTGAAACATAAAGTAATGAGAATTCAGACCTGTTACTTAGTAATGAGTACAGAGTACAGTGTGAGATATAAAGTGATGAGAATTCAGACCTGTTACCTAGTAATGTGTACAGAGTACAGTCTGAGATATAAAGTGATGAAAATCCTGACTTGTTACTTAGTAATGTGTACAGTGTACAGTGTGAGATATAATAGTAATGAGAATTCAGACCTGTTTCTTAGTAATGTGTACAGTGTACTGTGTGAGATATAAAGTAATTAGAATTCAAACCTGTTACTTAGTAATGTGTACAGTGTACAGTGTGAGATATAATAGTAATGAGAATTCAGACCTGTTACTTAGTAATGTGTACAGTGTACAGTGTGAGATATAAAATGATGAGAATTCAGACCTGTTACTTAGTAATGTGTACAGTGTGAGATATAATAGTAATGAGCATTCAGACCTGTTACTTAGTAATGTGTACAGATTACAGTGTGAGATACTATAGTAATGAGAACTCAGACCTGTTACTTAGTAATGTGTACAGTGTACAGTGTGAGATATAATAGTAATGAGAATTCAGACCTGTTACTTAGTAATGTGTACAGTGTACAGTGTGAGATATAATAGTAATGAGCATTCAGACCTGTTACTTAGATATAATAGTAATGAGCATTCAGACCTGTTACTTAGTAATGTGTGCAGTGTACAGTGTGAGATATAATAGTAATGAGAATTACAGTGTGAGATATAATAGTAATGAGAATTCGGACCTGTTACTTAGTAATGTGTACAGTGTACTGTGTGAGATATAAAGTAATTAGAATTCAAACCTGTTACTTAGTAATGTGTACAGTGTACAGTGTGAGATATAATAGTAATGAGAATTAAGACCTGTTACTTAGTAATGTGTACAGTGTGAGATATAATAGTAATGAGAATTAAGACCTGTTACTTAGTAATGTGTACAGAGTACAGTGTGAGATACTATAGTAATGAGAACTCAGACCTGTTACTTAGTAATGTGTACAGTGTGAGATATAATAGTAATGAGCATTCAGACCTGTTACTTAGTAATGTGTACAGATTACAGTGTGAGATACTATAGTAATGAGAACTCAGACCTGTTACTTAGTAATGTGTACAGTGTACAGTGTGAGATATAATAGTAATGAGAATTAAGACCTGTTACTTAGTAATGTGTACAGTGTACAGTGTGAGATATAATAGTAATGAGAACTCAGACCTGTTACTTAGTAATGTGTACAGTGTACAGTGTGAGATATAATAGTAATGAGAATTCAGACCTGTTCCATATTGTCCTCCCAGCCTCCATACACATCATTATCCTGTAACTTCCTGAAATCTTTCAAAGCCAGATTCACTCGAACTTTATCTCCAGGTTTAAAAAGAATTACACCGGGGTTCACAACATCTAAAGAAAAACAACACAAAATTATCATACAGTGGAATATATGTATCAGGATCTCAAATTTTGAGGGACCTAGATGAAACTTTTAAGACATCCAAGGTATAAGATATCTGGGGTTGTCCTTCAATTTCAAATCAGTAACTTTCCATATGTTCATAAATAGCTTCCATGCATAACACTTTTATTAACCATCAATGTAGTCTTTTGCACAGTTGTAACGACTTGGGCATATTTGCAATGAAATAAGAAAAACAATGTTGTTTTCATTATCATGAATAATCATAATATACTCAAGGCATTAAAAAAATTATATAATTGCCTAGTAATTGCATTTACAGTATCATGCATTCATTTAACAGTAAAATGAATGGATATAATTAGCAGCAGTCACAATGTGGTGACTCTGAGTATTCTTTTTTTCACTTAGTATAAAAAACAGCAGTAAGTTTAATTTTATAACCTACCAACAACAGGAAGATGTTCTGGGTAGTACTTCCCACCTGATGCAGTTTCTTTCATCCGTGTGTAGATGACATCAACACAGCCCTCTCCCCCCACTCTGTACACTTTACCTGTGGAGTCATTCTTCCACATAACCTTGACCCCACCGCGGTGAAACTTTTTGTCCCAGGTAACCACTTCCTGTATCCTGCCCACTTCACCTTCACCACCTGTTTACAAAAATAAATCTGTCGCTGACTCCTGAGAGACTTCGCTTTATATTTTACGTAGTGTCACTTTACTTTATAACAAAGAGGCCCAAAGGCCTTAACAGTCACCTGTGTATAATAAGTACAACATTGTAAAAGATCCCATGTACCGAGTACAGTATGTGATATTAGATGGGGGTACTTCCGTAGTAATGAGTACAGTTTGTGAAAAATTAAAGAGTTTAAAACAACTATATTCATTGTTTTGCAATTTATTATACTCAAGAGTTTGCAGTAGCTCTGGCAAGATTAAATGACTACAGTAAGACTGTTACAGGAAAACTCGTTTAGTACGAACACGGATACAGCGAATTCACGGATATAGCGAAGTTTTTCCGAGTTCCCGGCAAAATGCTTTATAAATCTTTGTAAATTTTATGGTTATAATGAACTCTGATATAACGAATTTACGGAAATAGCAAAATGATTTTGAGTCCCATTGAGATTAAATATAATGAAATTTTCATCTTTTATAACGAACTTTCAAAGATCTCAAAATTTGATGAATTGAACCGACTTAATTTTCTTTTAGCATCTGTATATAAAATTCAATTCATAATAAAACCTTAGTTATCGAAAGTATATTTTGTAATATTTGCTTCCCTAACATATTTGGTAGTAACACCTGAAGGAAAACATGCATATTGCGAATTCGCTATATACACTGTATGGTTATATGAATTCGTTATACGGATATAACGAATTAAGGATATAGCGAATCAAATTCACAGGTCCCCAGGACTTCACTATAACCGAGTTTCACTGTAATGGATAATGTGTGTTTCTATTCTGTCACAAAGGTTAAGGGCTAAAAACACAAAACTCATTGAATCATAAATAATATCCATGATATCCAACCACAAATCATACTACATGGCAAGATTTGGGTGTTAGCACTAATTCATGAAATACACAAACGACTCAAACACTCAGTTATTGCGCTAAATTTTGCATGCCCCAATTTAAGTACACATACATTATAAATAGACTGCAGACAAAGTACACTGTAAGAAGAGTACTTCTCTGATAAAAATATTAAAATCTGCCTATTTTACGCATATCATAATCTTTATCCACATCAACTGGATTAATTTTACGTGATACAAGAAAACAGCAGTTTAAGGGGGCCGACTGTGGTTTTCATTGCGCAATATTTCGCATATCATTGTAAAATGAAGCGTATTTACTGTTTTAAAGTATCTTTTTCATTTAATTAATAAAATTACAAAAAATTAAGAAATTAGAGGTTTAAATATGTAATTACAATTTGATATAACTGAATTTTTAACTGATTTTGCATCTGATAGGTCGTTCAGTGTGTTTTTAACATTATGATAAAATGATGCTCTTAAAGAAAGGCGTAATAAAAGTTTAATCAAAGAAAAAGTAATAAACATACGCTCTTGAAATTTAAAACATAGAAATATGAGAATCTCTCCATTCTTCTTATTATATTTTCATATAAATCCATTGTACCCGTCATATTTTATAGTACTCTATAAAAACAGGAGAATTCATTAATTTTTGGCATTTCAAGATGCCTCCTCTGGTAACAAGACGATAGGATTTTGTGTTTCTCACAAATAATGTACAATACAGAATTACTCATCATATGTTATAGTTTGAACAAAAAGTCTATTGTAGTATTGTTATAATTTCCTTTAAAGAGCGAAAATTGGCACTTTAATTCCGATATAATCCTATAGTAGATATACCTGTATTTTGAGACAGTCCCTTAAAAATACCTGGATGGTAGTATATAGATTTCCCTTAAAAGTTGCATGTGCACTGAAGTTAATGTAAGTTATATATGATATTAAAATGAAGAGTTTCGCTATTGTAGTTTTTACACAATAAAACCCCAGTTGGCCCCCTTAAATGTTCTCTGTGTAAGATCATTTCATATGGTTCAGTTTCAGATTGATTGATTGTTTGTTGTTTAATGCCCTCTCAAGAATTTTTCACTCATATGGAGATGCCACCACTTGCTGGTGTAGAGCTGCAAATATTTATCAATACTCAGCACTCAGGGCCATTGAGCAGTGAGGGATCTTTTTTGTACCAGCAACTATACTGCCACACGGGACCTCAGTGTATACGGTCTCATTCTCATCCAAAAGACCATGGAGTCTCCATGTCCCATGTGGGATTTGAACTTGCATTGTAAGAATCAACTCCTTGCTTGGCAATTCTAAAGCAGACCCTCTTACCACAGCACTATGTGGGGTACTAATTCAATGTGTAAATATTGGCCAAACAAATAGTGTGCAAAATTTTACTTCCTATTTTCAGAAAAACCGCATGAACATCATGTCACAGACTGCCCTAATCTTCTTTTAGAGACAGATGTTTACAAAACATGCTTTAAATATTCAACATAGATTCGGAAAATAGATGTACAATTAACAAGAGGCCCACGGGCCTTATAGGTCCCCTGAGTATTGTGTAACAACTGCCTTAACACCAGAACCCCTGACCCTGGGGCCATAAAATTCACAATTTTGGAAGAGGCACTCTTGCTCATCATAACTATGTACTTACATAGTTTATTTAATACCCAGAAGCAGAGAAGAAGATTTTCAAAGAATTAATGCATTTTTACTATATGATCAATAGAGCCCCACCCTAACACCAGAAACCCTGACCCTTGGGCCATAAAATTCACAATTTTGGAAGAGGAACTCTTGCTCAACATAACTATGTACTTACATAGTTTATTTAATACCCAGGAGCAGTGGAGAAGATTTTCAAAGAATTAATGTATTTTCTCTACTGTAAATCTGGAAATTTTTACTGTAGATAAATTTTTAGCAAATTTGCGCGTGCATTGCATTCGCAGAAATTTTTTTCTTAAAATAAAAAATCAACGTAAAGAATTTTTTTTTCTGAAAGCTGGTGTCTATTTTTAACTCAGTGAATACCGTAAATCTGGAAATTTTTGCTGTAGATAGATTTTTAGCAAATTTGCGTGTTCATTGCATTCGTAAAAATATTTTTCTTAAAAATAAATTACCAATAAGAAAATGTAAACAAAGCAGTGGTAATTCGCAAAATTTTGAAACGTAAAAATTTATCAACACCATTTTGAACCGAATTCGCAAAATAAAATCGACGTAAAAATTTCCAGATTTACGGTAGGCATCTGTAAGCACTGGTCAATTTTAAAAAGAAACCTGAGTGTTTATACTACTGTAACTACAAGCTAATTACCCGTGTGTGTAAATTGCCCTCATTATATGCAATATTGTCCGATGGTATGTCCCTTTTTAATTATTTTGCCAAGAAAGAGAGACCAGTTATTTTATCTAACCATGTATCAACACGAGCGAAAACTTGAACTCAGTGCATTTACTAGAGAGTTCCAAATGTAAACACAGCATGTAAGTTTTAGGTGAGAAAAAAACAAACGTTGAGAAAATTAGTTATATTTTTGTCTTTATTTGGATTATATTTTAGGTTAGAAGGCATACACAACCTCTAAAAGGTTTGTTATAATTAATTTAGAAGTAATTTAATGCAAATCCTTTTGTATTTTTATCTTCAAAATTGTTTCGGAGCAATTCTGCAATTTCTTGCCATGTTGCGAATATATCAGTGTATTGGTGGTATTCTAACTGTGCATACTAAATTGAAACATAAACTGATATGAATATCTTAAGTGATTTTCATTTTTAGCGCCAGTGACAATTTGCAAAATTTTGAAGCGTAAAATTTAATCAAAAGCTCTTTGACCCAAATTCGCAAAAATAAATCAACGTAAAAATTTCCAGATTTACGGTGCCCCACCCTCACACCAGAACCCCTGACCCTGGGGCCACAAAATTCAGAATTTTGGAAGAGGCACTCTTGCTCATCATAACTATGTACTTACTGTAAACGTGGAAATTTTGACGATGTGCTAATTTTGACTATTTTGACGATTTTTCTTTTCTCGTCAAAATTTACACTCGTCAAACTTCACATCATATACATAGAGTCACAACATACAAAGACTATTGTACAACATTACGCTTAATTTTCTCGGCTTTCCCCTATTAAATCTAGATCAAAGTTACTGTTAATTTCTTTAAAAAAAACATTGAATCTAAACTAGTGTATCAAATACTGCACGCGTAACTTAGCATAGTTATCACGCCGTGTTTGACCTAGTTTGTCACCTCAGGCAATTGACCGCTTATAATGAAAACAAATTACAAGAGGTCAATTTATTTAATCAAATCTTACACACTGTAGATACTAGTAGTCTGTACAAAAATTAAATTTTAGTGATACCGACGCTGCCTTTGTATCCCCGTGAATTCAAAGATACAAAACTCCTGATTAAATATTTCGTCAAAATTAACACTCGTCAATTTTCGTAAACAAGAAATCGTCAATTTTTCAACTCGTCAATATAACCACGTTTACAGTAGTTAGTTTATTTAATACCCAGAAGTAGAGAAGAAGATTTTCAAAGAATAAATGCATTTTCACTATATAACCAATAGAGCCCCGCCCTAACACCAGAACCCCTGACCCTGGGGTCATAAAATTCACAATTTTGGAAGAGGCACTCTTGCTCATCATAAATATGTGTTTGGTTAGTTTATTTAATTCCCAGGAGCAGAGAAGAAGATTTTCAAAAAATTAATGCATTTTCACTATATAATTTATATAGCCCTGCCCTAACACCAGAACCCCTGAACCTGGGGCCATAAAATTCACAATTTTGGAAGAGGCACTCTTGCTCATCATAACTATGTATTTAGTTAGTTTACTTAATACCCAGGAGCAGAGAAGAAGATTTTCAAAGAAATCATGCATTTTGACTATATTACCTATATAGCCCCGCCCTAGCACTAGAACCCCTGACCCTGGGGCCATAAAATTCACAATTTTGGAAGAGGCACTCTTGCTCATCATAACTATGTATTTAGTTAGTTTACTTAATACCCAGGAGCAGAGAAGAAGATTTTCAAAGAAATCATGCATTTTGACTATATTACCTATATAGCCCCGCCCTAGCACTAGAACCCCTGACCCTGGGGCCATGAATTTCACAATTTAGGTAGAGGACTCAGTGTTCATTACAATCATGCCAACAGTTCGACTGCTTGATGTCCAGGAATAAAGAAGAAGATTCTTAAAGATTTCATTTATTTTAGTGGTTTTGGCCCCACCCCTCAGGCCCCAGGGGGGCGGGGACCATAAAATTCTAATTTTGTTCCTCTTCACCCATAGACGCTGTATACCAAATTTGGTTGAAATTGGTTCAGTGGTTTCAGAGAAGAAGCTGAAAATGTTCAAATGTTAACACACGACAAACGACGGACGAAAACGGATAGCAATAGGTCACCTGAGTGACTCAGGTGACCTAAAAATTTCATTACCCCTGGGAGCTTTCTCTTTCAATTATAAATTTTAAGTTGATCTGCATTCATCAAAACTGTATTTTGTTTAGGGTTTAGAAGGATGATGCAATATAATTCCTCAATCTCCACTCCTGATTCAGGCATTTTGCACAAGACTGAAATTTATTCTTTTATAAGATGAATAAAGTGCCGCGCCACAGCATGATACGCCCGTCAAAAAAATTACAATTTTCTTGAACAGTTTAGGTGCAAGAAAATCACCACAACCTTGATTCTAAGATTTCGATGATTTTTCCATTCCTTAAAATATTTATCCATCCCCTGTGATGTAGGCATCAATTATAATAAATTATTACATCACTGATAGATTTCTGTGCTGGTTGTGTTAGACCTTGTCAAATGCCCGTCATCAAATTAGTCTTAACAACTTAATCTATACCAAATTAATTTTGAAAAGAAAAGGCTGGCCATCAAATGACATATGTTATAAACTGACCAGCAGTTCTTCTGTCTAATCCCCAAAGGGTGCTTAATCAGAGCGACTGAGACAGCTAGCCTTCCTACATTGAACTCATTAATTAATCTTTAACTGGATGCTTGTCTACTCATTACTACCAAGAGATGAATGGGTCTGCACTATCTACTATAAATTTTTTTTAAAAACATATAAAATACTCAAAGATTTTTTTGGGGGGTTGAGATTTAATTTCCAACAGGTTTTAATATGTAATTCATATGGACATGCTGATTCCACCCCACCCCATAAAACTAGTTTTTAAATTAATAATATTGCATAATATCAGATTAGTCTATAATGCAATATCAAATTAGTTAATTTAATTACTTTTCATCAAATTCATTTTAAAACTTAAGCTAGTCAACAAGAGCTATAGTCTATTTTTAATCAAACAGGCTTACCCATTTGCCCAATACTCAAGGGATATAGATAACACCAATGCTCTGTCAGTTAGCTCCTCGCACTCAAAATCCATTAATTTCTCTCTAATTTGACATGCAATTTTCTGTTATCAAAATTCTTCTTGACCAGTGCTTGATAATTACACTCATGGGAGAGGTAGGATTTCTCTGACATACATTATATTTGTTATAGATTGCTGTCAAGTATATGCTTTAAAAAAATAAGTATTTTCTTGATTTAACACTTTTTTAATAAGGACAGTGCAATACTCTTACATTATTTGGGATGTGTAAATGAATAGTAAAAAGACACATTTTTTTTTAAAATTTCACTTAAATTAAAGGTCACAGTGACCTTGAAATAGGTCGCGACACACCTTCTACCTAAGATGCATAAACTGGCGAAGTTTGATGATTGTAAGTCTTATGGTTTTCCTGTTATGGGCCGGAAAGAATTTTTCAATATTTGGCTATAACTTCTTAATCAAAGGTCAGAGCGACCTACTTTTTGTGTGCCACACACCTTCTACCCAAGATGCATCAGATGACAAAGTTTGATAATCCTAGGCCTAGTAGTATTAAAGTTATGAGCCGGAAACGAAAAAGCTAACAGACAGACGGACAGACGGACGGACACGAAGCCTATAACATAATACGTCCTGTCTTAAGACGGGCGTATAAAAACTATATTACTCATTAAGACCTAGGCTTGCAGAAATTTTAGTACATGTATTTACGGAGGGACTGTTTAGCTCCTGCATTGGCTTTTCAACCACCTGCTTCACTTCAATCAAAACAATTTAAAACAAAATCTTTCAAAATTTTGTTGTACCGGTAAATTAAAACCGCCTACACTAACTTGTGCATTTATGCTAAGATATAAAGCAAAATCTAATTCGGTAGCATAAAATATATTTGAGTAGTATCTAGATACAATAAGGAGGTTACCATCATCATTTTTCCATTTCCAGTGGGGTCCCCTGATTACCTCTGCCTTAGGAAACAGACCCTTGACTTCTATGGATTTACTTTGATTCCTCGGGGGCACATTAGATCTGTGGAAAAAGTAATATACAATTATGGACTCTTTTGGTGTTGAATATGGTTTGTTATTCACCAGAAAAATATCAATATTGACCAAGGCGAAGCCAAGTTGCTCAAGTAATCTATCACAGTGGCTTGCTTAGTGGCATTTACTGGCTGATTAACAGCAATGTTTTCAATTCATAAATATTCAGTGGACATAAATATATCCAGTATATAAACATTTGATCTCCTATAATGACCAACCCTTTCTTTGGGAGACCATGATTTAAATAAACACAGTATCTGAGGATGCTTGCAATTAATTATCACTTATCATGAACCTTGCTTTTCTTCAGGAATTTTGAACACATTTTCACATTATTTTCTCATGAAATAAAATCTTTGATCCCAATTTGTGACCAACCCTACCACTGGGGGCATTGTTTTAAACAAACTAGAGTTTAAACTACTGTATACAGGGTTATTTGCATAGTGTTTCATTTTACCCCTATCATACTTACATACTATTTTCCCTAGCATTTTTGATTTGTCCAAAGTTGCATGGCTAAAAGAAATGATGCTAACCTAATTTTAATTTAACCACTTGCAATGAAGACAAAAGGGGCAAATATAAAACAGGTGCAAAATTTCCTTGTTCAGAAAAGTTTTACACAAGTTTCATCTTTTTTGTATCAGTGGTTCATGAGAAGATATTATTTTCAACATATGATCAAAGACATCCATGGATGCTTTGTGCAAATTTGAATGAAATTAGTCCATTGGATCTCATTCTGATGAAGAAACTGAAAATGTAAAAAATTAAATATGTTGGTTTCCAAAGTAAGAGGTACAATTGTGAAACATGAAAGCACTAGGACCACCTGTTCAAACATTATGGACAAGGATAAGATTTGAAAGGTAGGGTCAAAGGGTCAAAGTTGTTAGTTTCTAAAGAAAGTTCTTGCCACAAGGATTATATATGTGAAGTATGAAATCCATAGCCCTAACCATTCAAAAGTTATGTTGGCCATAACTTTTGAATGGTTAGGGCTATGGGTTAAAGTAGGTCAAACTCCTTGGTACTTCTTGGTATCGAATGAAAGGTCTTGTAACAAGGATTAAATATGGGACGAACAAGAAATCTGTGAGCCAATGCTCACTAGTAATACCCCCGCTCTGATGTAAATAAACAACTATCATGTTAATTTACACAAGTTCAATTACAGGCAGATGCACAGAAAAATATGAAGTTGACATCAGATTCATTTCAAAATTAATCCCACCATATGACTTGCCTTGACAAAGAGTGTACTAAAATTAAGCATCTGCTATGAATAGTTAATGAGAAAAATGAGAAAACTGCAACGAAAATTTGTTATGCATGAAACGGACAGACAAACAGGAAGTTGACATCGGGTTTGAACAAAAATGAATCCAAACGTATGGCATGCCTCAGAGAAGATTGTGTTAAAATTTCAAGCATCTGCGATAAGTAGTTCCTGAAAAAACAAGCATCTACAATAAGTAGTTGTTGAGAAAACTGCGACGAAAATTTGTTCTGTATGAAAGGGACAGACACACAGACAAACAGGATGTTAACATCAGATATGAACAAAAATGAATCCCACCATATGGCATGCTTCAGAAAAGATTGTGTTAAAATTTCAAGCATCTGTGATGAGTGGTTGTTGAGAAAACTGCAACGAAAATTTGTTATGTATGAAATGGAAAGACATACAGACAAAGAGTAAGTTGGCATTGGAATGTATCCCAACGTATGGCATGCCTCAGAGAAGATTGTGTTAAAATTTCAAGCATCTGTGATGAGTACTTGCTGAGAAAACTGAGACAAAAATTTGTTATGGATGAAAGGGACAGACGCACAGACAAACAAGAAGTTGACCTCAGATTTCAACAAAAATACATCCCAACGTATGGCATGCCTTGGAGAAGATTGTGTTAAAATTTCAAGCACCTGCGATGAGTAGTTGCTGAGAAAACTGAGACGAAAATTTTTTACGTACAAAATGGATAGACGTACAAACAAACAGGAAGTTGACATTGGATTTAAATAAAAATGTATTCCACGGTATAGCATGCCTCAGAGAAGATTGTGTTAAAATTTCAAGCATCTGTGATGAGTAGTTGCTGAGAAAACTGCGACGAAAATTTGTTACGGACGGACATACGGACACACAGCTACACAGACAGCTGGACCGACAGACAGACAGACACACAAGGGTAAAACAGTATACCCCCCTCTCCTTCGGAGCAGGGGTATAATGAAAGCCCTAGCTATAACCCTTCAAAAGTCATGGTCAAGTTTGTTTTTAAAAGTAAGAAAAGCTCCAAGGTCAACAGGTCAAAGATGTTGGTAATCAATAAAAGATCTTCTCATAAGGATTACAAATGTGAAGTATGAAAGCCCTAGCCCTTACCGTTTAAAGGTGCATGGACACAGATTTGAAGTTAATATTTTCTGAATAATATTATGACATATATTTCAATAGCATTTCACACAAAAATAAATTATAAATTTTATTTCATCTAAAAAATATTGAAACTTCAAATTTTTAGACGGGTTTGGTTGACACATCCTTGCACTTTCAAAAATGTTAATTCTATTCTTAATACTTAGGAAAAGTGGCAATCTTGTTGCGTATAAATGAAAAGCATTAAAACTTTAATCCAGAAAATTCAGAGTAGAAATGGTCGAAAGCAAAACACACACACAGTATATTGTCATTCCGTGCAGTTGTGGTGAGCAGACTTTAACAATTGAACACACCCGGTGAATCGTAAACATCAACAATAACAGAACTCGTGCACTGTTTACAAAAACTGTTTCACCGTTGTGATCAATTTGCTAAACTCTGTACACAACACTCAGCTCATAATGACGATACTTGTGAAGGAGTTTTGCTTTCTAACATTTCTACTCTGAATATGATTATTTTTCTGGATTAAAATCTTAATATTTTTCATTAATACTAGAGATGTCAAATCGGTCAATTTTTAATACTCGGTTACTCGGACGTTTTTCCGATCGAGTACCCGGGTACTCGGTAAAAGTGTAAATAGATATGAACAAGTTAATTGATAACTGTAAAACATTGTAAACTCTTGTAAAAATAAAACCGATGGGAGGTTACCTGCAAATGCGTTGTAACAATTATGACCACTTTGTACCCGACGAAATTTAATCTAACATTTTTGTTTTAAAGTTCAAATTATTTATCAGATAAATACGAGAAATAAAATCATAAATGGTTCACAATGTTTTTGTTTTAAAAATAATCTGTTCCGTAATTGTAGTGTAACTCTTTACAAATTGGTGCGTTTGACGTCCAAGTGATAAGTTGTCAGAGCTACATGTACGGTATAAACTTGATCAAGTTATCCTATAACAATGCGGATTAAAGCGGATTTATACGATCTTCGTACACTTTTTGATCCTAGATTTCATAGAATTACGATACGGTATGTTGTGGTGGAGCAACGATGGACATAATATTTTTAAAGCATTTGCCTTCAAGCATTTGCATTAATTGGCAGGTAATCAAACGCATCCATATCAACAATCGCACATGCAATGTCGTCTGTCTCTTTCCCCGAGAATTTAGGGCTTCTTGGAGAAATGACAAAATCATTAAATTTATTTATATATAATGGACTTTAAACGATGTTCAATGAAAACAAACAATTAAAGCAAACTAAACATAAGGGTAGAAGACAGTCGAAGGTGAGAAAAGCCAGGTAGGTACATCAGGTGTTTGGTCACGATAATTACTGTATAAACACTGCCACAGGCGATAACCATGATAACGGTCATTTAGAGGCGTAGGAAACCCTACTTACTGTATGTACAAGCGCAATGAACATTTTACGTTTTAAAAGCGACGCATTAATGCATTAATAAATAAGCTTAGAAATATTTAAAAATATACATCCGAGTAACCGAGTAGCGATTTTAGTATTCGATACTAGGACGTTCGATCGAGTACCCGGTTAACCGGGTACTCGTTGACATCCCTAATTAATACACACCAAAATTGGCACTTTTTCCTAGGATTGAGAATAAAGTAAAATTTGTGAGAGTGCACGGATGTGTCACTCAAACCCATCCAAAAATTTAAAGTTTCAATAACTTTTGGTGGAAATAAAATTATTAATTTATTTTTGTGTGAAATGGCATAGAAATATATAAGTCGTGATATTAAATAGGAAATATTAACTTCAAATCTATGTCCATGCACCTTTAAAAGTTATATCCAAGATTAAAGTTTTTTAAAGTGCATGAATCTCCAAGGTCTTTGTCTCGCTAATCAAGAGTCAATGACTATCTCGCGAAAATAAGGTGTCGCGAAAATTAAATGATCTACAGTACCATTTAAATATTATGGTTAAAGTTTGGAATTTTTTTTTAGAAAAAGTGAGTCAAACTCCAAGGTCAAAGTCAAAAGGTCAAATTTGGTGAAGCCCAAAGAAAAGTCTTGTCACAAGGAATATACATGTGAAATATGAAAGTCATAGCTCCACTATTATAAAATCAAAAGTTATGAGCAAGGTTCAAGTTTTTGTGGACAAACAGACAGACAGACAAAAACTATACACCCCTGAATCTTTGATTACAGTGGCATAAAAAAATTATCAATTTTGTAACAATGAAGATGACTGACAATGCACAAATTTAGATCAGAAATGTGCCTCAAACTTTTTTCTTTTGTACAAATTATTGATCAGCTTAAAATTTTGAAAAAATGAAATGTTGGTATTTACCCTCTAGATGATTCTGTTTCAAGTCGAACAAACCCATGGCCTGTATCATGCCTGTCACCCATATAACACAGGTTACATAGGTTTACTTCATCACAGTTGGTACATTTCCATCGTATACCTTTCAGCGGTGTGTCCTTACAACCCTGACATGTAACCTTGTCATGTACAATTCCTAATGAAAGGAAACTAACAATTGTTGGATATACAAACTTAATTAAAAATAAATATTTAAGAAATAAGGTATCATTTTAAAACATCTATCGGGATATAAATACAGATTGGTCACAAGATTAAATTCCATAAATCATGAAGGGCTTTATGATGAATTTAATCTCGTACAAACCCGTACTTATAGCCTGATAGATGTTTTAAAATGATACTTTATTACTTATATTTACATTTTGTGACTTATTCATACTTTATATTTGCCTGATGATTGTTACTTTTAACGTGTGAAATGCATTATTTTTCAAACCCAACGGCATGTATGTAATCCACTGAACACGCGTCGACCCTTTATGACGTCACTGAGAAATTACTTAGAACGTTTATCCATATGCACATTTATGACCTCTTGACCCCGTACCAGTATTTATACACTTATACATGTGTAGATACTTGCTTTCAGTAGTGTTATATAAAGGATAACATTTGCAAATGTAAATATTTAAATATAACTTTCTGGTAAAAATAATAAGCTTTTTTAAATAAAAATTATCTTTAAAGTGTTTTTAACAATAAAAATTGCATTGTCAAAAAAGACGTGAGAACAATACACACTCAGTTATATTTGACCTGAAAAGAGGTTAACCTACCAGCTGGAGCAGTATCATAAGCACGCAGGTCGTACTTCCCATCATGCCCAGCTCTGTATCGCAACTCTCGCCCGGAGTCCCAAATCACTGTCACTTGATTGTCACTAGACCCCACTTTGGGAACAAATATTATTGTACCCAGGAACCCCTCTCCATTATCCTGTTTTTTGGATGCCCAATCTGGACCTCTTACCACTCGAGTTCCTGGCTTTATCTGAATTTCATTCATTAAATTATCAATGAAATATTTACAGTAAAACTCGTTTAGTACGAACACGGATATAGCAAATTCACGGTAATATAGTGAAGTTTTTCTGAATCCTCAGCAAAATTTTTAACAAATCTTTGTAAAATTTTACAGTTATAACGAACTCAAATATAACAAATTTACGGATATAGCGAACTGATTTTGAGTCCCGTTGAGGTTAAATATGATGAAAGAACATCTTTTATAATGAACTTTCAAAGATCTCAAAATTTGATAAATTGAACCGACTTTATTTTCTTTTAGCATTTGTACAGAAAATTCAATTCATTATAAATCCTTAGTTATTGAAAGTATGTTTTGTAATGTTTGCTTCCCTAACATATTTGGTAGTAATACTTGAAGGAAAACATGCATATTGTGAATTCACTATATTTATCTGTTGAGATTTGTTTTCATTTTGTGCATTTTAAAAGCTTGCAAGTCCTGTATCAAGTTTCCTTTTATCAATATTGGTGCATGGTGAGTTCTAGATGCTTTGGGCTATTATAAAATTGTGAGTTCAGCATATTTTTGATTTGCAAGTGTCGAAAATTAACATAGGTTGGAGACAGTGAGATTTCCATGCAGTTTTCGATTCTGACATTTTTTTCTGGCATATTATTATAGCGATTGCAGCGAGTGTTGCAAAAATATGATCGTAACTTTGAGCTCTAATAACAACACCTGGGTGAAGAGAAAATTTGGATTACTGCTCATTCTATAGAATTTTTTCAGCAGTAACTTAATTTGAACCACAATGCATTGCTTTGTACAGCGAAATTCTTGCGAGAATCAATAATGAAAAAAGTTCAGCAAAAAAAATAAAAACTCAACTTAATTGATTTAATGGCTATGTTGCAGATAAATAATAAATAAAATGTTCTTCATTAATTAGCCCCTTCACGGTAACTGCGGTACTACTGTTTTGCAGGGCAAAATAATAACTTTTGGCGAAGTTTTTGGTGAGAGATAATTAAATGACGTATCTTTAACAATTACTTTTACGTCATATTTCACCAAACTATATCATTTTGCCCTGCATAAGAGCAGTACCGCAGTTACAGTGAAACGGTCTATTAAAGTCAGCACTGCTCATGCTTAGTCAACTTACAGACGACGTCATGTGACGTCAGAGTCTAGATGCACCAAATCTAACGTGCTGTTTGACAAACCCAATCTAAATTAAAAAGGAATAAGCGTCTGCGCTCGCCCCGACGGTCGCACCGTCTGCATATTATCAAAATCGTCAAAAAGCCCGGAAAACGTCAGATATTTCGGAGTAGGATCAAGGATGCATCAACTGACACAGTTTGACAATGCTAAGCCCATTACTATTTAGTATCTAAATAATTTAATGACAAAGAGCTGACTCGAACCACGGGCACTGGAAGTTAATGTAAATATATAGTATGTGCATGTATAAAATTTTATACATGCACATACCATGTATTTACATTAACCTCCACTGGCGTCCACTGCCCGTGACTCGAACCAATGAACGAAACCGAAAGTAGGAAATCATTTTAAATACTTTCCATCTTTCCATTTATAAAAAGTAGAAATTTTCATAAAGGACGCACTTTAACTAAGTTGTTATTCTAAATATCGACCTAGTCTTTCCTTACCGATGTCATTCTTGCTAAACTTTATTAAGCCCCTCTAGCAACTTAAGCAAGTTAAGGTATCGACAGCCGGAAGTAGAAATCTGTATTCATAGATTACACAATCAAATCGTGCATAAACCAACTCGTACACTTGTAAACAAAAAGTCATGACACTATATTTAGTACAAGGTTAGCTTTTTTAAAAAAGCTGAGTGTCAGCCACTGGAATACAGAGTTTCTTTCTTGTTTTGTAATGGTTTATGATTTGATCTATTCATCGTGCTGTGTTCCTTAAATGTAATAAATGCCATTGTAAGAAAAGTTAAATTAGTGTAATCGTTTTCTTATTTGTAACATAATGCCACATACATAATAAATAATAAAGCATAGAATAATTTTTTTAATTCTGCATCGTGACCATTACAATGATCTCCAATAAATTCTCTTCGGCGCAGACATCAGAGAAAGTTCATCTTATACCGGTAAATGAACAAAAGCCACGATGGCAACTAAGATCACGTTAAATTCTATAAAAATGATATGCAGATTAAGATGAATAAAAGTAAGGTAGACTTTGTGTTAGATCGTTTTTAAATATTATTAAATAACAGTTTTCATTTGTGTGCATTTCGAGGCAATGCATGACGGGGGGGGGGGGCATACTGCATCTATATTTAATTTAATTTCTAAGTTTGAGCATCCATTTTAGTGTTATTAGGAAAGAAAAGAATTGCTTCCAAAAAAGTAATGAACGCCACAGAAAACAATTCTAAATGGAAATTCAAAATATGTTTATACATGCGGTACGTATACATGTACACAAAATGTCTTTGATGATGTCTACCATCATAGCAAAACTATAGATTAAAAAACTGGAATCCATTCCCCCTCTCTCCTTTCATTGGGGGGGTGGGGGGGTGGGGGTTGACCCAGTCTATAAATCAGCACAGTTCTCTCAGCTATCGCATTTCCACTGTGGTTTCACATGTGGGCGCGGTTCACGTGCACAAGCGGCACTTACACGTCTATCATCATGTAAATTATAAGAATTTTCTGTCTTACAGTACTAGTGGTCTTCTAGCTGATGTTTTCATAACTTCCATCATTAGAGTGAAGAGAAATTGATCTTTTTATCTTCACTATTTTGGGACCTTTGTGGCAAGTGGATTGTTGTGTGAATTCCGACCCGTACATGTCTTATGCAAGGTATTGAATACTGATCAAGGGAGTCTTGCTTCAGGCATCCAGAGGAATACACAATTTAAATCTTCGGCTTGCAATGGCGATTGAGGGAATAAAGGTACTTATCATCTATTAGAAGCAAAGAAATATTTTCATAGTTTCATTTAAAAACTGACAAATATCCCATCTAGAAGCTGAATAGTCTATGTCATAAATTTTCGTCGAGAACGACGAAGAACAATGCAGTCTATAAATAGATCGAGGTCGTGTGTGCGTGTAGAAGCACGCCCTCTGGTTGGAAAAAATTGTGCAAATCTTTTTCCCAGAATTCCGATTAACGCAAGCGCACTTGCAGTTTCATCCTAACGTAACTAGTCAGCCCGGGGGCTGACTAATAAGTAAAGAAGTTTGGCTATTTGTAAACACAACCACGTAACATCGTTTTTGAAAGTGGGGGGGGGGGCAGCCAGAGAATTTTTTTTTTACTTACCTGAAAAAAGTTGACAAGCAAAAAAAAAAAAAAGGTAAAAAGAAAACTTGCCCCAAAGTCGTAAATCCTATATCATGGGTGGAGGGTGGTGGGGGGTGTAAAGGCGAACTTTTTTCAATGCCAACCACTTTCAGTATCAACAAGCAAATTCAAAGAATTGTGGTCCCCCGCTTTCGGTGTCTTTGTGGGTGAGATGTTAATTTTTATGAAATATTGTGTGTAATATGAACATCTTATCATACGCCATTTATTTAGAAAGTAACATTGAAGTTGATTTTTTTTTGAAGGATGAAAACCCTAATCCTAATCGTTAAAAAGTTATGGAAAAGTAAAAAAAAAAAATTAAAAGTAGGTCAACTCCAAGGTCAAGATCAAAGGGTCAGAGTTAGAGATGGGTATCGCCAAAAATTTCGTATCGCGATAAATCACGATTTTTTCCCACAATATCATGATAATATTATGATATTTTTAAAAGCAGTTTTTACATTGATTTTGTATGAGAAGTCATTATTTTTGTAAAAAATATGCTATAAAAACAAAATTTTACGTTCTTGAAATTTTTATGTATATAAAATCAATTATGTTTGGACGGCAAGATCTCGTTCTTTTCACTTTTTACACAATTTTTATACTTTCTGTAATTGTGATTTAAAAGATTGAACAAATAAACGAATAATTTCTGGACTTTATAATATGTACCTAAAAACCGGTATTTAGGTATCCGTATCACGATACGTATCACGCAACAAAAAATCGCGATATACCGGTATACCGATAAAATCGCACATCCCTAGTCAGAGTTGTTGATATCCAATGAAAGGTTTTCTCACAAGTATTACATATGTGAAGTATGAAAGCCCTAGCCCTTAATGTTGAAAAGTTATGTTCAAGGTTAAAGTTTTTTCATAAGTACGTAAATCTTTAAGGTTAAGGTCAAAAGGTCAAAGTTGTTGATATCCATTGAAAGGACTTGCCACAAAGAATACATACGTGAAATATAAAAGTCCTAATATCTACCGTTCAAAAGTTGTGACCAAAGTTATAGTTTTAAAAAAAAAAGTAGTTTAAACTCCAATGTCAAGGTCAAAGGGTAAAACGTGTTGGTATCCAATCAAAGGTCTTCTCAAAATGATTACGTATGTAAAGTAAGAAAGCCTTAGCCCTCACCGTTCAACAGTTATGGTCAAGGTAATGGTTTTTCATAAGTACGTAAATCTCCAAGGTCAAGGTCAAAAGGTCAAAGTTGTTGGTTTCCAATGAAATGTCTTGCCACAAACAATACATATGTGAAATACATGTATAAAAGTCCTAGTATCTACTGTTTAAAAGTTGTGACCAAGGTTAAAGTTTTTAAAAAGTAGTTTACACTCCAATGTCAAGGTCAAAGGGTAAAAGTTGTTGGTATCCAATCAAAGGTCTTCTCACAAGGATTACATATGTGAAGTATGAAAGCCTTAGTCTTGACCGTTCAAAAGTTATGGTCAAGGTTTAATTTTATCATAAGTACGTAAGTCTCCAAGGTCAAAAGGTCAAGGTTGTTGTTATCCAATGAAAGGTCTTGCCACAAACAATACATGTGTGAAATATGAAAGTCCTAGTACCTACTATTCAAAAGTTATGGCCAAAGTAAAAGTTTGAAATTTTTGTGTAAAAGTGGGTCAAACTCTAAGGTCAAGGTCAAAAGGTCAAATTTGGTGGTACCCAAAGAAAGGTCTTATCACAAGGAATACACATGTGAAACATGAAAGTCATAGCTCCACTAAATCAAAAGTTATGGGCAAGGTTAAAGTTTTTGTGCCGGACAGACTGACAGACTGACCGACTGACAGACTGACGGACAGACGGACAGACAGACAGACGAATGAGATTTAATGTCCCCTCGCTTTCGCGAAAGCGGGGGACAATTATTATACTACATTAATAGTCGGGGGCCAACCAGCCTTTCACTGAACATTTCCTATAGTATAAGTAAGGTTGGAGAAAAAAGTGGGGGAGGGGGGGGGGCAACAGATTAAAGGCATTTACCTTTTCGTCACTTCAACGTTAGTGTAGACTGGAGACCAAACGTACATGTATATATACTCTAAACATTGATAAAGTTTTGCAAATAAACTCCGAAACGGTTGCACCAGAGTTCATACTTTCTCCTCTAGGAATACATAAAGTACATGTATTAGACGTATTAGCATGAAAAGGTGACGTCCGAAAACTATATTCAGATTACATTCGCATAGTTAAGACCGCGGAACATTAACTGGCAAAATTGGAAATATACAGCTTACGTCACTTCTATCTGTTAGGCTACAATCAAAACATTCAGCACTTGATAGACAACGAAATGGGCGGGTACAATTCGACGCGGACGTTTGGAAAACATCGGATTGAAATTTCAGATCGAAATTCATTTTCAATCCACCTGAGCTGTTTTCAAAGCAAAGAGTGAATGTATGATCCAAAAATCAACTATATTTCAACTCCCAAATACATATTGTTTGAAGTTCACATTAATATGAGTTTAAGCTTATCATTTTAAGAACGCGAAAGGTCATACAAGACAAAGATTATTTTTCAGGAGATATTTGATTCTAGGTGGGGGGGGGGGGGGTAAAAATTGTCGAGTCATGTCATGGCTTAACATGACAATTATATATTTTATTTCTAGGATTATAAGAGTGCATGAGTTTTATACTTATTTTCACTGAAAACTGTTGGACAACTTTATTTAAAAATCGTTAACCCCCCCCCCCCTCCCCACTACCACCACCAACACTAAGATATACATGTATTTACCGAACAGAAATGAAATATTTGTCCCTTAAATATTTATTCATTTAAAACACTAGACAAAAAAATTCAAACTGTACCAAAATTGAAATTATTTGTCTTCTGGGTCAATCAGTAATAATGTGCCTTCTAGCGTAGCTGAGGTGGATTGAAAATGAATTTCCGATGTTTTCCAAACGTCCGCGTCGAATTGTACCCGCCCATTACATTGTCTATCACTGAATGTTTTGATTGTAACAGATAGAAATGACGTAAGCTGTATATTTCCAATTTTGCCAGTTAATGTTCCGCGGTCTTAGCTAGAAGCTTGTCTTTTTAAAAAGATTGATGAGCCAGCGTTGCAGCATAATTATAAGCACAGAAGATATCTCAACCATGGAGCACTTCAAATTTTTGCTGAATCGAATAATTATAGATAGGAAGGCACATTGCATGGTGTACTGGGTGTTGAGTTAGCACCAGAACTGTACCTCTCCGAAGAAATATATATCCATAGACTGAGAGCTACAGCCCCCCCCCCCCCCCCCCCAAAAAAAAAACAAAAAAAAAACCTGTATATCTATTGCGCACAAAAAATGCGCTGTTTCTCGATTTATTTTTCCGCGTTTTTAAATCTGTCATCTCAAAATATTATACTAAACCTCTAA